TTAAGACCCCAGTGAAGATGCACCTGTGAATCCTTGCTCATAGGTCCTCTGGCAAACCTCCTCACTTCACTTTCTTCAGGAGATGTGACATCCTGTGACAAGGAAGGTCTCTTTTACTTTAGCTCTTTATCATAGCTGACGCAAAATAAAGTGTCATCAAATTTCCAACATGTAAACACACAAACACAAGGACTAATATTCAGAAGTTAGTTGATTAACTAGTGTTTAGAGAACCCTGGTGCCAGCTGCACACACAATGCTTTCCCCAGTAGCACCTGATCCAGGGCCTAAGCTGACCTGCTGCTGCGATGGCTTCGTGGAAGAACCTGGATCCTCTTGTCATACTGTTGTACGATAAAGAGTCTTGGTCCCTGTCTGTGAGCGAAGAAGCAGAGCAAAGCGGTTCTGAAACCAGTTTCTTCCCCGAGCAAACGGTGCTGTGTCTGACCTGATCTACAAGCTCCTGCTGCTTAAAAGAAAACCTCCACTGGAAAAAAAAAAAAGCAGTGGAGCTTTAAAAATTCTCTTAATTCACTCTGTTGTCCAAAAATGCATAAGGATTACCAGAACGTTCCCTTTTACAGAAATATATAATATTTGATATTCATAATATAGATGTAGAGGTAAGGAAAGGTAATATATGAAGTAAAGAAAATGAATCAGTTAAAATGTATCATAATATTTAATTCATGTTAATGTTTTAAGATTACTTATACTTGTTCAGACTTCATGTTCCAGACCAATTGAAATGCTGCAGTTCCCACAGGCTACCAACAGAGGTCACTAAAAGTCCCTGATCACTTGATACACACTGAAGAAGTGAGACAGCAAGAACAAATGGGGCATCCTGGCTGCTGTCAGAAACAGCTCAGCACTGTTCCGCTGCTGCTATTTCTGTTTGGCTTCACTGCATGTTCACAGGGAAACATCTTGGAGCTTTGGGACCAGGGGGAACATTAGGTGATAGGATGGATTACAACACTGCAGCACAGGAGACGGCATAAACTCTGAGTCAAGGACATGAACATGACAAAGCATTCCAGTTGTAGCTCCTTGTTGCTAATCAGTTGGCTTTAAATCTCAAGTTTAAAAGGAACCAGCTTGTGTGTGGATGGACTCCTGTTCGTGCAGTTCTCCAGCCAAGGCATGGAAGGCCTCATTGTGATCTGGATTGCTTCAAAATGAGAAGTCCAAGCAGAAACAGGGAGCCCAGTACAGTCTTGTGAGATTATTTGGGGATTTGATTAAATAAATGTTCCAGTAACACGATGTTAAAAAAAAACTCTGGTACATGTACAAGTCCTGCATCCAAAATGATGTCCCTTTAGACTCAGAGAGTGTTTTGCTTATTGTGCATTCACTTTAATATTAGATGGTTTGTCACATCACAGCTAGTTGAAAGCTGACGGTGGTGTCACACAGGAACTTTAAATGCATCTAATAAAGGACTTGTGAGTTAAAATGAACAACATTTATGCATTCTGCACAAACTAGTAAGCACCATTTTAAAACAAGTTTAAAAAGCAATTTAGACTTTTTGTGTAACAACATATCAATCCAAAATCATGACCCAAAGACAGTACTTTTAAGTGTTATGAACGGTACAGAAATATCATCAGCAAAATGTTCTTAAAGTATCAAACATCAGTTATGCAGCAGGAACCACCCTACCTGCCAATAGATTTTAATGTTGTATTTGGTTGACACTCAATTTAACAATCACAATCTCAAAATAACTAACTAAATAACTATATTTTTTGCCGACAAAGGCCAAAAGGAGTAGTTCTGCACTGAAGCTGACCAGCCTGAAAAGGTTTTGTAGGGTGGCTCTAATGGGTGAGAGGCTAGTTTTTAGTATCATCCAGTTTTATGGAACATGTGAATGGAGTATTAGAGACAAAAAAGTTTGTGACAAAAGTTTATAAAATATTTTGTAACAAGGCTTATGATCCACTATGCATTTACTCTGTGCTTCACACAGCTAGCATTTGATCAATCGAATCTGGGGGTGACAAAGGTTACTTTAGGAAAAAAACATAGTTCATAAGAATAGCGTTTTCATGCAACACTAGGCTTGTTAACTTTCAGCTTATCTGGTGCTGCTTTTTCTCCGTACAACAATTAAGTCTTTGCACGTTCAGTTCTTTAGGTGTTGGAGCGTTAAAATTGAGTCCTCTGTTCTATGAAATAAGAAAAAGTGGTCTGCTGAAACTAACAGCGAGCATGTATTAAACTGAGCTGAATTTAAATCAAATGTAATAAATATTGCCGATAAATGCAGTCGAGACATGGCAATATTATGTTTCTGCAGCAAAGGATTATGATTTTAAAGGTTTATTCTACCCAATAGGTTCTTCCTTTGCCAGTGTCTGTGGGTTACAAAAGCTAATTTACATTTGGAGTAAACAAGTAGTTGTTTTATTATCTGGTCCAGAAAAGCTTTATTGAAAAACAAGGGTCCTAGAAATGCGCCTCCTCTGCTGCAGACACATACTACTCAGGTATTAGGGTGCACTGCTTTGAAAGCATAATCAGAAAATCTTATTTTCTTTAGTGACTCATCTTCTATTTGGTGTGATGTTCCCCTTTTACTTTTGGCAATAACTGCTCATTGCTAGAAGATGTGTGTATTTATGGTTAATCATCAGGTAAAGCCATGAAAACTAAAAATCACCATCCATCCATCATCTACACACCACTCAATCCTAACTAGGGTCGTGAGGGGCTGGAGTCTATCCCAGCCGACTCAGGGCGAAGGCAGGGGACACCCTGGACAGGTCGCCAGTCTATCACAGGGCTACACTTAGAGACAGACAACCAAGCACACTCACATTAACACCTACGGACAATTTAGAATCACCAATTAACCTCAACATATCTTTGGACCTTGTGGGAGGAAGCCGGAGAACCTGGAGAGAACCCACGCTGCACGGGGAGAACATGGAAACTCCATGCAGAAACATTCCGGTGTCCTCACCGGGAAGCTAACCGGCGAACTTCTTGCAGCAAGGCACCGATGCTAACCACCGAGACACCTTGCAGCCCTAAAAATCACCAGAAAAGCATAAATAATTTAACAGATTTTCCCTCAAAGACAAAGATTAACCTCTATCCCTGACGCTCACACACTGCTGTTTGGTGGCCAATGGGCTTCAAAAAAGTGAAAGTGCACAGTTTTTGCATTGTCTAACACATAACCTTTAGTGTTAGTTCCAATCAGCTCCTCTTAGCACAAGAATGTAGTGTCCAACATAACATGGGATGCCCACTCTTATTAGGTGACATGATTTGCCATGATACAGCATTTAATCCCCATAGCAGTGACATTTACTGGCGGAATGATCCAGCTGTGGTTTTCTGTAGAAATAGTAGATTGGGGCAGAGGTGGTCATCTACAGAGGCTGTATAGTGTTTCCACAAGGGAGCCTTTTCTGCAAGAGTGGCCTGAGCAGCAGTAAATCCATTGTCGTGGGCTGTTAACCAGCATGTGTTGTAAATGAAGGGCCCAAATGGTGCTCATTAGTGGTCTCTCCCCATGCTGGCCATCACAGAGGAGACGGGCTTTAAAGGCCCACTGCCCCCCTTTGCCAGGAGAAAACTACGCCCAGTACAGGAGTGATAGCTGGATTTTTACATTTAAACACACCCATTAATTACCCCCAGAAAGCCAGGACCAGGCCTCGTGATGCATGGGATGGCTGTGAAAAATGCATTCCTAGCTGGCAACTTACTTAGATCTCCGAACTGAACAGCAGCTCCAGACAGGCTGTGAAAATCTGTCTTGACTTTTCCAGAGCTGTGGCTCTTAATAGCCTATGAGGCACGTAGGGAGGCACTTTTTTCTTTCGCTGGTGCCTGTCAAGCTGAGTATGTTACAACTCGTGTTTTTAAAAGGGTTCAGCGAGCTGCCCGACTCTCAGAACAACAAGTCCATCTGGATGGTTTTTCACAGATATTAGAGTTACGCAATATTTTGTTTTGTGATCTGTTTTTCCTCGAACACAAGGGACCTGTTTGTTTCTAGGCCCAGAGCCCATTTTAAAGATGGATGTTTTCTCAAATTTTAAAATGTATCTGCTTGCACAACTGTGGCTTTTGGGGTCTGTCATGGTCCGAGCTCATCAAGCATCTGCATCTCTTGTGTGTTCAGGTTTATTGCTGTTGTGGAAACAGAAACCCAAACTGAGTTCTCTGTTGTCCCCAGACTTAACTAATTGCCAAACAAACAAACCATGAATCATATAAACGGCCATGTCTTGTTAAAACAACCATGCCAGTGTTTGTGCATATTTTTACTATAAATGCTTCAGTCACTTTGTAACAGTGTAAAGGATGCTGTTGTGTTTTGAACTTACAGTCACATTTATGACTGCTTTTGTTCTGCAAACAACTTCTTTTTCCTGGCAGAAGTTTTTTTTTTTTCCCCAACCATTTCTTTATGGATGTTAGCCAGATATATTTTAACAGCTCAGTTACTTTTATATGTAAATTAAGAATCAGTTTTTACATGTTTTCTTAGAGTAGGTTCACATTATTACTATTATTATTATAATAAATTATATATATATAAAATAACCACAATGTAAAGGATAAAAAGGATAGGCAGAGCAACAATATATAAAGAACAAAGTAAAATGTACAGAATGACAATAAACTACCAAAATAAAACCAGTAAAGAAAAGACCTCATAATTTAAAGTTTATAAGGAGTGTCTTTTTCTCCACGTATGTTATGCAGTCTAATTTGTAAGCATCCAATACGTTTTGTGGGCTTTAAAATTCAGAACTTTATCCAACTTTTTGATATTTAATCAATTCAGGGTTCCTCATAAAAGTTTATTCATATTTACTGTATATATTTAATGTACGTGGCAGTCCTGTCTGCCTAAATAAATGCTAACAGTGGCTGACCAAGAAGTCCTGCCTCTGTGTGATGAAGTGGGGCAAAACACAACTTTTCCTCACAAGCTTCTACATCCGGAACTTTTGTTGTTAGACAATAGTTCCCCGTCGGACATGTTATATCATAGTACGCGCCACTATCTGGTAGCAGAACATAAACAGAATTCTTGTTCAACATGGCAGAGGTAAGCTGACAATGATTTTGAAGCTTGTTTTTCGCCCGTCAGCCGCGTTGAACATTTATTCGTGATGTCTGAGGTTGCGGTGTTTTCTGGGAGGACGTCTGGTGGAGACACAGACGGAAAGTTGACCAGCGCTAGCCGGCTAGTTCACTGCTAGGTTGCTAACTTACCTGGTGATGTTTACTACTAGTGGCGTCAGCTTCATCGATGCTAACAAGCTACATTTTTTTAACAACTCGTATATACAGGAATGTCAGCCAAGTGTTTTTGTAAAGTGTGTAGCCGAGCTGCGTACATCAACAAACGTTAGCTCGGTGCTAAATGCTGAATTGTCAGGCATCATACTGGCTCCGGGGCAGGGAGGATTCAGTCTGTGTACGTGTTTAAACTGCCTCCTGACAGAATAAACACGCTGGCGACAGTGATGACACTTGGCCACAGTAGTCGTGTGCTGTCGTGATGTTCTGATAGCAAACACAAGTTCACATCAGTGCAAGGAGGCCAGACTAAACCAGTGTGTGGATCCAGTTCAGGGCACACAGAGTTCTTCTAACACAACAGATGGTGGTCTGAATATTTGTTTTACAAGGCTCGTGCTGAAAGGATTAGATAATTGATGGCAGACATTTAAATAAATCTACATACCCATGTGCAGTCCAGACCATGGATAATTGCACAATTTTGGTTTATAAAAAAAAACAAAAAGATCCTGAAAGCTGCCATTCATATTTATGTAGGTGGAGTTGTCTGTCTGCCAGCATTAGGGATGATTGATTTAAGGGAAAAATCTAACTGCAGCTTTTCAGACAAATTTGATTTGCGACACATTTAAAAAAAAAAAAATCAGAGTTCAGTTAAATATTTACTGTTACGTAGATTTAAAAATGTGATGGAGCGTTACCACATCAGGCACCATGAAAGCATTATGTGTCACAGATTAAAACGCATCGATCATAACTAAATGATCTAAAATTCTTCCAACATGTATTTATTTGATTTTTTTTTTATTTTGAAATAGAACATACACAATTGAGCATGGAAAAAAACATAGTGACTATGTTATAATATAGCAATAATAATAAAAAGTAGATGTGCTCCCTTTCTCAGCTTGCTCAGCAGACGGCATTTTTCTGCATCAGGAATGTCATGTTTCCTCAGGTTTCATGTGTAAAGTGGTACTAAGATACTAATTAGACTCATAGCACAGGTCTTTTGGATGAGCAGAAAATCATTTGCATTTGTTAAAGGAACCTGCTTGTCATTGATGAAGACTTCATGTGCAGAACCTCAGAGGACTCAGTACGAGATGCAAACCCCTGGTAAGCCTCAACAACAGGAAGGCCAGGCAGCAGTTCACAAACACATCCAAAAGTAAATTTAGAGTTCTGGGACAGAGTTTTGTTGACTAATGAAACAAAAATCAGCATCTATCAACATGATAGAAAGAAGAAACTGGTAGAAAAAAAGGAGCAGTTCTTTAGCCAAGACGCCACCTCATCTGTCCAACATGATAGTGTTTCTTTTGTGGCCTGGTCATGTATGACTGCCAGTGGAACTGGCACACTTGCATGGAACTGATTATTTCACTTTCAACAGGATGAATGCAGAGATATGCAGGAGCTAAACTCATTAGATGACATTTCATCATTCAGTAAAACAACAGTCCTACACATCTAGCCATATGAGAAAATAAGTACATCCCATGGAAATTGTTGAATCTTTAAGCATATTTGAACGAGCAAACGTTTGATCCTCTTTGAAACAGTGCTTATTAATGAACATGATATATTCAAAGAAGCGACACATGACAAACTTTTAGAAAACGTGCAGTGGATGTCTGTGAGTCTAGCAAGGGATTTAAAAAGATTTCCAAATGGTTGAAATAAATCATTCTACAAGTGGCATCAATTTCAAATGAATGCTGTTTTGTCCAGGCCTGACTATCCAGGCTATGAGCAGACTGTTTGATGCAAAAAGAAGTCTCCATAAGCCCAAATGTTTCATCACAGGATCTGAAAGTAACTCACAACTGCTCATGTCAATCTGTCAGTCAGAAAGAGATTAGACAAATTTGTCTCACATGGAAGGCGCTCCAAGAAAAATCCTTTGCTGAACATACAGACAAAGAGCAGACGTTTTGGATTCATGTGCTCCGGACAGATAAATCAAAGATTGAGTTGTTTGGCAACGGGAACAGTACACATGCTTGGCGCAGACCAATGACAGTTTCTCAGGAGAAGAAGCTTAAACCAACTGTGAAGCATCATGGTCGAATTGTTATGGTTTGGGTTTCCTTTGCTGCTTTAAGGACTTGGCTGCTTGAAGCTATTGATTCAACTGTGACTGCTGCATCATATCAAAGAGTCACTGAAGATAGCGTGAGTCTAGCTGCAATAAAGAGAAAGTTGAAGCAGAAGTGAACTTTTCAACAGAAGGAATTTTTAATGGATGACTAGTAAAAAATTCCAGCAAGCCGGTGTCAGAAAAAGATGGACAATCATGCAAAACACTTGCCAGAAGTCGTTTTTGCTAAAAGAGGCAATTGTAACCTCTAAGGCCAAGGCTGTATGTCCTTTTTCCATCGAGGAATATTACATTCATTGATATCCTTATTGAATGCATTGAGAAATGTATTTTCTCTGTTGTGACATTTAACTTTTAAAGTGGATCACATTTTTGCTTGTGCTACTATGTCAGAAAAGCCAGCAGTCTCATGAGATGTTGCCCGTTCTTTCAAATGGCTGTGCAACTAAATCCATCAGGAGCTTTGTAGCGAGGTGAAGTTTTCTTGACTGACTGAGTCTGGTGATGGAAGATACAAACAGTCTGTTGATGTGCATGGCTCTAAAGCATCGTTTATACCTGTCTAATTCTTTTTAAATCCCTACCCCTCTTGGTGTTCTGTGTTATAAGGGCCAAGTTAAGCCACAACATTCAGTCTCTGTAAATGTAAGCAAACATCTTGTACTTGATAAATTACATTAAAAACAACAGTATTCCAGTGATCAAAATTCAGGGTCTTGATGCTGATCATGGTGGTTCATTATCATAGCTTACTGATAAAATTAATAAAGCCAAACCCTTGTTAATAAAACTTGCTTCACCTGTGCTTTTTCCTATTATGACAAGTCGGAACACCAGAAGGTCTAAACTAGGACCTTTAAACTGAAGTTAAGGTTCATCTGTGCCAAATATGATAAGATAAGCAACAAGCAGTAAAGTTATGCAGCTATATGATGAAATCAAATGAAATGTGCTGTGTGTTCACTGATGCAAACAGACTGCAGAATTGTATAACATCAGTGTGTGGTGTGGCCCTGTATCAATTGTATTGCCCTGTTTCCACAGACTCACAGCTTGCAAGACATGAGGCAGCAGGCAGCCATCGCCGCCAAAGTCTTCATTCAGAGAGATTATACCAACGGCACCGTGTGCCAGTTCCAAACCAAGTTTCCCTCTGAGCTGGAGACCAGGGTAGGGCACTCATCTTTATTGTGTTATTCAGAAGGATTTCACATTGTTAAATGGTGACTTTATACTCACATGACCTTTGTCTTGCTTGTGGATAAGTTGACACTAGCGTTAAGGACTGGTACACCGAAATGGTCAAAATTAAAACATCAATTTCAGTCAAGCCTCAGGACAGTTCATTATTTTCATCCAATATTCTCTGTCATAACATTACATCATAAGTTATAGTGTGATCAGCCACAACATTAAAACTACTTATCAGTGAAGTGAATAACGTTGATTGTGTTGTTCCAGTCTGTCAGCAGGTAAGATCTATTAGGCAGCAGGTGATCAGTCAGAGCGCTCACTGATGTGGTCCGATCCCACAGAAGAGCTAGTGTACCACAAATTACTGAAAACCTTTACTGATGGCTGTGATAAAAAAAAAAAAAAAGTGTCATATCACATGGTGCATCACAGCTTGTTTGAGACTACATAGCCCCCACAATGCTAATGCTGATTTCTGTACAACTCCAAAAGCATCTCCAATGGACATGTGAGCATCAGAACTTCACCATGGAGTAACAGAAGAAGGTGGCCTCGTCTGATTAATCATCATTTCTTTTATATCGTGTGAATGACTGGTTGGGTGTTTGTTGTTTGCCTGGGGAAAAGATGGCTGCAGGATGCAGTATGGGAAGAAAGCTTTGACACATCACACCTCCCTTCATGGCAGCGCTATTCCCCAATAGCAGTGGTCTTTTTTAAAAGGCTCCCTGGCCCTCTAGAAACATTGTTCAGGAATGGTTTGAGGAACATGAAAAAGAGTTCAAGGTGTTGAGTTAGCCTCCAGATTACCCAAATCTCAATCTCATTGAGAATGAGTAGGATGTGCTGGGAAAAGAAGCCCAATTCATGGAGACCCAACCTCACAACTTCAAGGACCAAAAGGATCTGCTGCTAATGGCTTGGTGCCTGATACTACAGGATGATACTGATGAGACCAGACTTCAATGAGACAGTGCTGGTTCTGCAGCACAAGGGAGACCGACAAAATATTAGGCAGGTGGTTTTGTTGTTGAGGATGATCAGTGTATGTGTGACTTCAGATCAGTCCTCTTCCTGAACCGGCAGAAAGTCTTTTAACCACCTACAAAATGCATCAGAATGAAATGGACATAGGTGAGACATCTCATTTTCTTTTAGAGTGTAAAGCACAGGAGCACCAATAAGAGTCATTCTAATAGAATGAAACATGGTCATCTTTGTTTTTCAGAGAGTTGGAGGGATTAGGTCCAACCAAAGAGGTGGTAAATATTGTTCCTAGGAGCCATGTCATTGCTTGTCCACTGTGAAATGCATTTTATTCTTTTATGTTTTAGGATAGTTCCAATTAACATATATAGGCCTTTATTTTAAAGTATAGCACTAAATAGGAACATTAAAGTTAAAGAACTCTTTTGTAAAACCTTGGCTACCATTCCATATATGCACTTCTCTTGTTTTTGGACAAAATATGGCGCCACTCATATACATTACTGGAGACCGCTGTGAATGAGGGACACACTCAAACCCAGGAGCAAGCGGAAACCTCTGCGCCATCCACTGAGATCAGTTTACACACTGTCCACTCTGTAGCATTTATTTAGAAGAGAAATACTGCCGTGGTTGCTAAACAAAATAGAAAATTAATGAATCATATCATTTAATGTTTTGCAAAAGCTCAAACAATGTAGAACTGTTGCGTTTGTCTTACCACATGATCTGTATTGGGCTACATACAGCTGAGGTTTTGGCTCAGAAAACACACAGCTGAAATCGGTGTGAACATGGAACCAAGGGTGAATGATGCTATCAGCAGCTCCTTTACAGGAAGCCCGCTGGCCTTTGTCCTAATGTGAACCACGGTGGAAGTGGGCTAAGAGCAGGCATCGATTATGATGTGGAGGAGGAAGAGCAGGTCGCTGAGTCGGAACCAGCTCCCTGCCACATTAAAGGCTCTACCAGCCCAACAGTTCAGAGTTCGCAGGACAGAGAGCTGCAGTTTTGAAATGCTCTCACCACATGAAAAGACCAGCTTCACAACGCTTAAACCACTTACTTGTGGTTTATTGGCACTTCCCTCTGGATTGGGTGGTCTCACATGTTTTTCCGGCAGGGTTCAGTTCACACACAAACACACACACACATACACACACATAGGTACTGAACAGCTGGACAAATGAATGTTTTTTTCCTCTGGGAGGTAAAAACTTAAGTCCCCTATCATAAAAAGTCTTTCCCACATATATTTTTTAATGATTTGCTGTAATCCCTGTTTATGAAATATGCAGTATAATGCCAAACCTCTTAGTGGTTTTCATTTTTTAGGACATTTATGTCAGTGTGACGATGTTTGCAGAATGTATTAAAAAAATTTGGCCTCTTGTACTTTGAGCCAACATTTTTCCCTCCAGTGTCTGATTTGGACATGCTGTTGGCCTTGTTTTGCAGAGGTTTGCATGTCGAACATCCTACTCTTGCAGATAATTATCTTAGGCTGTGGGATTTATTATTTTTGGTAGCCCTTTTCTGTTTAAATGCTTTTGGACAATTGTGCCAAAAACCTGGGAGAGCGCTTAGAGTTCTAAATGCATTTGGAAGCTTGCTCGCCAAACTATTCACGAGGGATTCATTAATTGCCTGTTTTCTCTGACCTGTGTCTAATCTTTATTTCCTAAGTTCACATTATATTTAGTGACAGCTACAATTAAGAGATGTCCTCTTCCTCAGCTAAATTTGTAAACCATGTTCAGCCTCGCACTTTCCATCTAACATTTTGAAAAATGCTAATATAGCTGCGTTAGACGTAATGGAAAGATGCTCAGGCAGAGAAATGTGGTTTGAATCACAGCCTCTGAATTGGAAAATTAGAAAGGGGAACAAAGGCTCAGGATGGTGAGTACCAAACACGCCTAAGACCACTGATGTGTTGGAGCTTGTTGTTGCATTCCTCGGGCACAAGGGAGCAGAACATTGGAGGGTTTTCAGAGGCTCAGGAGGCCCTTAGCTGGCTCCTCGTCTGGACCGATTGGAGGCTCCGTCTTTTCCCGTCAGTATCACAGACAGATCATCTAACCGTTTTGGACAACAGCATGGGACTAATGTCGACACCCTTGTCAAAACGGCCTCTGAATCCAACTGTCCTCCACCCTCATTCAGTCTTCTTTGAGGCAAGCCTGCATTTGATAAATTATCTTACTCAAAGTGTGTCTGTGCCATCGAAGAAGGAGAAACCATCAGGAATCCTTCCTGGACTGTCACTGTGTGTGTCCTGCTTTCACTGCGTTTGTCCTGTCAGGTATTAAGTGGAAACATTCGCAGAGTGCATGGCCAAGGCATCCTAATAATTTCAGGAGGTGTTTCCAAATGCGGGAAGGAGGCCCAGCATTCCCTTGATGTATGACCAGTCCAAGAAAATTCAGCCCCTCATTTATCTAGAGATGGAAAGAACAGGAGAAAACGATCCGGTGCTAAGAGGGCAATGTTTCCACTCGAATATCCTGGACTCACACACTGCCATCCAAATATACACTTGGCTCTGTGCCTTGATTTTAACCCTTTGATCTTCCTTTTATGTTTTCATGTATTTCAGATTGACAAACAGCAGTTTGAGGAGACAGTGCGGACGCTGAACAACCTGTATGCTGAGGCAGAGAAGCTGGGAAGCCAGTCATATATCGAAGGCTGTTTGGCCTGCCTCACAGCTTACACTGTTTTCCTGTGTATGGAGACTCACTATGAGAAGGTGGGTTATGTATCGTGTATCATGATGAATAGGTCTGAGTATGGAACATTAGCAGTTGTTTGGTAAAATACACAGTAAGATTGTAGAAATAATTTTTCAAGCTGATATTAGTAATAGTAGGAATCAAAATTCCACGGGTTTAAGCCACATTTACTACATTTCATCCTTCATGTTTTTGGTTAGTTTAAATTGAATAAATCTGTGGTCGATTTTCTCCATTTTTTGGACGAAAACACTTAACATATCAGTAATGACAATAAAGTATTTGGCAGAAACATTGAAACCAAGTATGAGCAGTTTATTCAAAAAAGTTGCTCATCCAAAAGAGTTTAAAAAGACTGCTGGTACGTGTGCAATAAAGCTTGTTTCCAAAAAAATTACAAGACATTAGTCCATGGGACATTAATCCCCCAGTTTCATGACAAATTCCTTTTAACCTTTCACCAATAATCCAACCACACCAATGTTGCGCTGACTAGATTTTAAAATGCAGTTTCCATGACAAGGTGACCTTCACTCATGTTGAACACAGGTAACTCTACTCCTCTTGGGCATGTGCAGAGGACACACAGAAAACCAGCAAGGAAGAAACAGAATACCATCTTTAATTCCGTGGCAGCTTTATGCTATTTTGGAGGCACTGTTTATTGCAAGCAGATTTCACCAGTTTCAGCTTGTTTCACAGAACAACCACAGAAGATTATCTGAGAAAAGGCAGTTTGGATTTATACAGATTCGTTGTGGATGGACAATGAACCCAAGCTGCTTTTAAGAGTTACCAACAAATGGTGTAATAATGCATGTACTCGTCTCAAATTGTTTGGTACGGTATGTTTTGTTCAGTATGAAACATCTGTTTGGTTGTTGCTGTGATCCAAAATATGACTATCAGGGGTCTATTTATGTCCATGGGAATTTCAGAGTGCAAGGTTTTGGCAGTGCACCAGCTGTTGTCAATCATCTGCAACATGCTAGTAGGGTTCGCCATTAACCTTCTGAACCCTGAAACCCACCAGCAGGTTTACAAACCATGTTTTCTTCAACAAAAAAAAAAAAACTGCCAGAACTACAGCCTTTATCAGAGCCAGGAACTGTAAAAACAGAAAGAATCATCAGACTTTCAAATTACTGATTGTGTTGAACTAATCATGTTTGACATGTAGTTCTATTGCTGTAGTTCTAAGTCTAAATTTGTGATGTTTCTTGAAAAACACACAGAGAAAGTACAACTATGGGAACACAAAATGAGCTATCTAAAATGAAACATGAGCTATAAAATAAATGCAGCATGGTTAGAAACTGTTCAAAGAGGAGACAATCGTCAGCAAGTCGCTAGAAAATCCATTCAGCACGGTGAAATGTCTTCCTGGAGTTGATATGCCGAGCAGCATGAAAAACAGCTAGTTTGTAAGGTGTAGAAATGAAATTGCAGACTTTTTCAGAATTTTAACTTCTGTTGTTTTTTCTATGATTTACATAATTGTAACTTAGTTCCACTGTAACTAATATATTGCACTGAAAAATTAGCCTACAGCCTGAGTAAAAATGTGACAGAAGCAAAAAGCACCAATAAGCCTTTAAGAGTTAAAGCAGTTATTTCCTGTGACTCCAAAACCGAGGTACATACCAAACTATGTGTTTACTGTTACAACCCTATCATCGACATCAACAATACTTTGTTTCTGTTGTCATTGTAATTCTTCCTCTTCTTTTTTTCTGGGCTCAGTTTCAGAAAACTGAAAAGCCCTGCTACAACCACCATCTGTTCTTTCAATGACATGGTCGTGTTTCTGCATAGCTCAGTTTTGACTACACGCAGTACAACGTCAAGCTGGTGTTCTTCCTCCATTTCGGGGAGAGGGCGATATGTCTGACTTTATTTTGTCTCATTAGATGAAGGATGTATTGACAAATGTGGCTCACTTAGTGTGGACGTTGACAGGTAAAGTGAATGACGTTCTTTTTACAATGTCAACTGACAAAACAGTCAGTAAACAGTTGGTTCTTGAAGTTGATGTGTTGGAAAAAGGAAAAATGGGCAGCGTCAGGATCTGAGTGACTTTGACAAGGTCCAAAGTGTGATAGTTAGACGACAGCACATGTAAGGTGGGATGTTCCCAGTATGTAGTGGTTAGAAATTACTGAAAGGTCCAAGGAAGAACAACCAGTGAACTATCAACAGGGTCCTGGGTGTCCGAGGATCATTGATGTGTAGGTTTAGCAACGGCTGGTCCACAGAAGAGCTACTATAGCATAAATTGTTAAAAACTTTAATGCTGGCTGTCAGAACACACGATCTCAGCTCGCTGTAATGGAGCTGCATCACTACAGATTAGAGTGCTCATGCTGAACCATTGTCCACCACCAGAGTGGCTACTGTCGCCAAATGAGCGCCAGAACTGGACCATGGTAAAGTGAAGGTTGGAGGCCTGGTTTGTTGAATTATGTTCTTGACTGGTGAATTTGTTGGCACTGGTTTGTGGAGTGATGAGCCCTGAGCAATAGGGCCAAAAGTGGAATTTCAGTTTAGTAAAGCTTGAGGACAGTTAATAGATTTCATACATTTTTTCCACATCAAAATGCAACAATACATAAAGAAATATACAATGTTACCAGCAGGTGGACCAATGACTGCTGTGAGTTACAGGTATCCTCACATCTGCCTTACTGAAAACCTTACAGGGGCCTTTCCCAACATTACAACTCATAAACCCATCAATCAGACACAAGACTATACATATATTCACAATACTAGATACAGTTTGCACAAGCACACTGATAGCAGCATATATCAATAGAATACATGTGAGCAATTTCTAACAGACCTAATACCGCTTTAGAACAAGAATCTCTGATAATAAGTCAACCAACAGACTGGATTTTCACAATAAACACAATGTCTCCAGTTAATTTAAATGATTCATTTAAGTGTCTCATTTACAGGAAGAAATTGCTGAACAGTTTTCCAAATGTATCCTGGCTGGATGTGCAAATCATTTTTCTGATTATTGTCAAATTGTTAAAAAAAAAAATAAAACGACAAATAATATATATATTTTTTAAACACAGTTAAATAATTCTGGTTAGACTGTGAGGCCAACAAGGCCTCTGTCCGAAGGCTGCTACACACTCAGTCTTTCAACAGCAGTGTGAGTCCAAAAATCTGCTCTGCTGTTGCTGTACTTCGTCATGTCGTGTCATTTTCATCACCTGCTCACTTCTCCAAGCTCCTGAGACGGCAGGGTGTGGCGGCTATAGGCTCCAGCCCTGTTGGCGCTGCGCTACCTCTGGGAAGATAACCCAGACATGAACTCAGCTGATTGTTTGAATTTATAAAGTCTTCTGTCGTCAATAGGAATATATTCGCATTTTATAGGTTTTGGAAGTAATTAAATCATCTTTAAAATATCATTCTTCATAATGTTTGTTGCCAGAATAAACAATTAGTAGCACCAAGTATTACAAAAAATAGCAGAGCTGCCTGCAAAAAAAAAATGTAATTGTTGAATAATCTGCTACTTATTTTTTGGATTAATCGTTTGGTCCAGAAATGAGAAAAAAAAAAAACAAAACGCTACCTATTACAGTTTTCTAAAGCCCAATGTTAAGGTAGTAATCAAAAACTGTATTACTATCATATTGGAACCACAACTCCTATCATATAGGCATAGGTGCTTAAACATATCAAATGATTCCCAGTCCTAGTAATGAACATTATAATTAATGTTTTAGATGGTTTCCATTGACTGCTGCAGTCAGACATGAATGACACAGTGAATAGGCAGTACTGTAGGAGTCTATGTTATTTTGCTGCTGTGTGAAACCTTTCAGCTTGGCTGTAAATCAAAAAGGTTTATGACCTTTATGAGAGCTTGCAAATAAATATGATTCACATATATGTAAAATCCACTTTGGTTCGGTTTATACGGAATGAAATGAAACCGTATATCAGTGGAATCTTCTGAATTTGTTTTTCAGTGGACAGGATTGAACAGGAATAAACAACATTTGGCTTGCTGTGGATTTTATGAGCACTCATTAAGTTGTGCAATTTGAATGTACTGAAGTTACCAAAGTGAAATCTGTTATTCAGCTGTTCAGCTCAAGAATGTGGTGGGTTGGCTAGTTGGAGCCTCTGTTTGCATATTTAGTCAGACAGATTTGCCAGTTTGATTCCAGGTTGAAACAGTGCCTACAAAAGGAAGGCAAGAGCACACAACATGTAACGGTACCTTGTTTCTACACAAGATCTCAACTAACGCTGGCCATTGTTTACAAGTTCCTGGTAGTCCAGCTGAAAAACTTCTAGAATTCCAGTACTGTAACCAGAACACTTTATCAAGACCTTATTTTGAGGAATATTTGAGGGGTTTTTTTCCTCCCCCAAAATATTTTTTTATTTAACAAAAGAAGCTCTAACATGTTGAATGTGAGCAACCTTAAGGTACCAGTATTCTTCAAACATCTTCAAAAGTGTTTGCGGGATCGATCACCAGATAAAGTCTGTAGAACAACCACTCCAGCTTTTTTCTGACAGCAGAACTTGTTTTTTAAATGTTATTTTTTTGGGCCTTTTAGCCTTTATTGTAGAGGATAGTGGAGAGAGAGACAGGAAACATGAAGAAGGACATGGCCGCTGCATCGGGGACTTTCACCCCCTGCTTGGGTCGCCCGCTCAACCTGTTGAGCTACGGGGGCAACCTGACAGCAAACCTGTCTGAAACTGTCAGTTGGGAAAGCGTCAGGTGATACAACAATTGTTGAAAGTACATTGATGCTAAACTTCTTTTAATCTCCCTTTAATTCTGTTGGTCAAACCACCTCTTTGATCACTTTATCAGTAGAAATGAATCACCACCACCATAAAAACCTTATTAAGATGGTCTAAAATGTGCACACCACTTTATCATATACTTAGTGTTGCCTTTCAGAACACTGGCTTTTTTTTTTACACTTCATATGATGCACATGAAAACTTCTACCTAAATAAAATACATCATAATAAATGGTCTGCACTTCTATATCGCTTTTCTGTCTTAGTGGTACTCAGAATTCTTTTCCTTTATTTCACATCCTTCCATTCACACACATATTTACACACCAGTGGCGGCAGAGTTGCCATACAAGGTGCTTACTTGCCATCGGGAACAATTTGGGGTTTAGTTTCTTGTCCAAGGTACACTTTGACATGTGGAGGGGCAAAGGATTAATCTGCCAACCTTGTGATCAGAGGACAGTCCACTCTATTACCTGGCCCACAGCTGCCCAGAGGGTTATAGAATTTGCAACATGATGACTTTGGTTTGAAGTCTCTTCAGAGATATGTTCAGTTATTCTGCACCAACTTAGTGTACTTACTTGATAATATTCCATACTTGGAGCCTGTAGGCATCTTTTAGATCAAATATGTCTCAAAGCACTAACAAAACTAAGATGATGCTAACATGCTAATACTAAGCAAGTATAGACCCTATTCACACCAGGTAATTAAAGTATGATCTCTGTCTGAATCTGTTATGTGGATATTTGATAATCAATCCATGGGTCTCTGCAGTTACACCTGGCATTAATGCTTCCTTGTTATCTAACTTATCTCACAATTTCATCTGGTTAATATATGCAGTTTTTAGGTGATGCTGGCTAACTTGTCAACATCCGTGGTTTGGTCAAGGAACACAGTCGTGTTGCTTTCTTTGCCAAGCTAACATTACTGCTACTACCTGTAGCATTTATCAGGCTTGCTCGATTAAGCAGGAAGAGGCAGAAATTTGTGGATTTATTTCTTAGGAATGCAGTGACACTGTGCCAATAGTATTTAAATCTGGCCAAGATCTGATCACAATATGGGACTCACTTCCACCAGATTTGGTCTGACTTGTTTAATGCTTGCTTGTTATCTGGATACAGATCTCAACGCTTATACCAGGTGTAATGGAGTATTAATGTTAATATGTTACCATTTTAGTTTAGCATGTTAGCATGTGCAACAGAGGCTGACAGGAACTATTGGACAAACTAGACAATTTACCTGATATGACAAATGAGTGTAAGAGGGACATGGATGTGGTTTCCAGATTTTATGGCAAGCCATCGAGTTGTTGTTGAGACATTTAAATCATAGCTATGAATGTTAACTTTACGGTGGTGCCATCCTTTTGGACCAGTCAATGAACCAACAGACTAGTCGTGATGTTCAGTTTGACCCATGTCAGGCCTAAGACATCAGCTGAAATGCTTTAAGAGATTTACACAAGAGATATGTTTTCCCTCTCTCTGTGACAAGTACAGCGATATCAATGAGAAGTGTATTTTAAAATGTGATTGCTGTTTGTTTTTTTAGATTTTAAAGAAGATTGCAAAGTACATTCAAGAGCAGAATGACAAGATCTACGCACCGCGAGGCCTCCTGCTCACCGACCCCATTGAGAGAGGCCTGCGAGTTGTATCCTACCCTTCTGTGTGAATGCAGACAGTGTATTTTAAGTATTTATCAAATTTAGGTCTCAGTTGAGCACACAGTAAATGTAATAAAGGAGCCTCAGACTTAGATTGCTAACAAACAAAGAAGAAACACAGTCAAGGCTGAAAGCCACAATGTTTTCACAATGAAAAACAATCTCGTTATGCAAGAATTAGGATGTTCGGGAAAGAGGAATGGTGTGCTGAATATTTTGGTCAACGTTAACTTGTTAAACATAGCCTGTGATCAGGAAATGTGAATGTGATCAGACCACAGCTTTAAGTAGAACAAGGAGCTTTCACAATGACCTAATAGATGTAGTGATTTACAGGCCTTCTGCCCCCAAACAACTGCTGGATGAAAATAGAAAGCAGCAGTTCGGGCAGCTTACAGGAAATCCAGCGCTATGTAGGGATACCCTGTAAAAACACCAGATAAAAGCTAGTATGTAATCCATAGCATCTGCATAAAATCAGCGGGTGCACCAACATCTTAGCTGTCCCGGCGTGCATGTGTGCGGGGTGACTCAACATCCCAATTAATTGTAACTGGGCGGCAATGAGAGATTAGGGATAACAAAATATGACTAAAATTGTTCACAGCTGAGCTTTGTTCCCGCTCTTGCCTGTGATTTTATAAGGCTGACGGTGATCTGGTTTATTTCTCCTGACACTGTCGAGCTGCTGTGCTGACTTTGGCGGGGAAGCACTGGAAGATTGACAGGAATGTCTCACCTGAATTGTGGTTTTATCATTCGAACCAAAGAAACATCATCATGTTTGTAATTGTCTGACGATTTGGCTGCTTCATTTGACCACCTGAACTCTGAAAATGTACCTTTTTGCCCAGGGCTGAGGGGATGAAGGGATTTTTGGAATCATGTGTTATGTTAAACAGAAACATGTTGCAGTTGGAATCACAGGGGTAGGGGAGTGCTGCGGTTACAGGACTCTTAACTTCCTGTGATTGTTGACCGTCTGTCATTTGCTGCAACCACAAATGCATCCATGAAAGAGCTCTGCTTTTTATAAAGTTGGAGGGACACAACACCGAGTGTGTGGGAGCTGCTGGTGTAAAAACAAAATTAAGTGGAAGTAGTATCAACCAGCAGGAGCTTGTGGTGACTTTAACAAGCTAGGCTAACTGGTGGACAATAGTTAAACCACTAACTAGCTTCTGCTTTTTAAGAGGGTACAACATCAACAGCAGGATGACTTCTTACAAATTTTGAATGCTGTAAAACTACAGACAGTTTCTTAAACGTTTATAACCATCTGTTGGGCTTACAGTGTTACCTATTGCTCGGTCCTGCCTGTGACTTAAGCGCTCCCATGTTCCTTTATTACTGCATACAGTACCCATGACAACGCTAATGAAAGCCAGACCCCTGCTTTCTATCACATCTGAGGATGGCAACATTAGAACTCCAGGCTAAGTAGCTTTTACTCCTTCTACTGCAAAGCGTGATGCACCCTCCCACATTCTGAATGTTGACAGACAAGTCACTTAAGGTGTGTAGCTGCACTATGGACTTATTGAAAACAGTGTAAAACAAATCAACCCAAATATACCCCACATCCAGTCTATTGCTACGACATGCAATGCCACTGCCACAGGAACCAACTGTGCAGAGGTTTGGAAGCAAGTTTTTTGTTTTTACGAACAACAGTTTTATGCTGAAAATATGAAAAATGTGCACAATAGCTGCAGTATCGTTGTGTTTTGTTTTTTATTGTTTACATAACAAGTGAGACGAATTCAAGTCTAATTTATCGTGAAATTAATGTGAAAGCAGCCCAGTTTGTCTCAGCTGCTTTCCCTTGACTTAATGCTATCAAGATCGAGGTCACCATCTTTGAAGACAGAAGCCTGACAAGATAAAAGCCAACATGGTGAGTCTCTGAACAAACAGTGGGAATATAATAAGGACATAAACTGTTTTTACAGATTTAATGCTCGGCTGTCAGCTGTGTACAGTAAAACAAACATTTTAAAAGTGTACAGATACATGTTTCCAATGATGTAACTCAAAGGGTTGGAGTCAAAGAGCAGTAATAAAACTGTGTTCCTCTTTATGTGCCCCACTGTCCATCGCTGTCATCCAGAATGCCTCCTCCACATTCAAAGCAAAATCCCACATCAAAGTTTAAAGCTTTTTCATCTGTGAGTAATATCAGTTAACTGCTTTACCACCAGGAGGCCTATTTCAAAAGCATTTAAAGGATCATTCTGCTTACTTTATGACTTCACATTATGTAGTGCTTTGTCATATATTTACTGAGGGATTTATGCGCACAGAGATCACTGTCCAGGTCACACGCACAAGACAAACCGAGCAGCTGAACCTAACGGAGATGAAGTGTTTTTAGCACATTAGCCACTCTCTCTTTAGTTACATGTCTTTTTAGTGGCTGTAATCAAACAATTATCACATTTCACCTAAAACGGCCCATTTCCTTGTTTACTTTGCTAGCCGCTGGGTTGCTGCCGCATGTCGTGTTGGTGGAAGTGGGAGAGATTTCATGGCTTCACTTTCAAAGTGTTTCTGATCCTACAGTGATGGACTCTTACCTCACTGAAAGTAAACTAAATAAAAATAGTTAGGAAGCAAACATTATAGCTGTAGTATCATACCAGGCTCACAGAAAGTAGTAGTATTATTTTTGTTATGTTATGTATGGCTGATGTAAATGGTTCCTCGTAGTCAGCAGTTTGTATTTACTGAATATTTGATCAGTGGTAAAGGCAGCTGAATATTTGAGCAGTTTAGGTCATATTCATTAAAGCCATATTACTAAGTCTCATTCATTTTGAGACACCTGTGGTTACCATGGTAACAGCACATGTATCTGCATTTGATTTACTGACTGAGGCTGAGAAAGACATAATTGGAGCATTATGCTGAAAGAGCACTGTGCTACTATTGCGTACATATTGTATACATTACTATTATATATATACATTATATTGTTTACATTGTTATGTATACATTACTTATATAAATACATTATATTGTTTACATACTATTATTTACATTATATTGTTGACATTATTATTATGAATACATTATATTGTTTACATTATACTGGTTGAACCGCTCAGCGGCTAAATGAACTTTCAATAGACACAGATTTGTCATATCCAGTGTACATTTGTTGTAATGTTTGGGCAAATTCATGCTTCCCAGGCTATATGTGAATTAAATTTCATCTTTACATATTTTTGTGTGCAGTTGAAACTTTGACTGCACAGACTGTCCACACTGGAAAACAAATTATGCTTAAAACAAATGTACAGTTCTTAGCTCTCCACTTTTTAGCATTTTGAACAGGAATGAAGAATTTCAAACTGAATTCACCTTTTTATATCCAAATCTGAGCCGGCTCACTGGACTTCTCTAAGAAGTCAGAAATGAATCAAGCATAACATTCAACCACAAAAACTAATTATTCTGTTCATTTTTGGGGGGTAAAACAGTAAATCTGAAATTCATGGATAACAATAATAATTATCTTTTAGCATTAAAAATATCGTTTTGATTAAAGAGGGCTGCAAGGTGGATCAGTGGTTAGCACCGTCGCCTCACAGCCAGAAGATCCCGGTTCGTGTCTCAGTTAGGATGCCTGGGATCTTTCTGCGTGGAGTTTGCATTTTCTCCCCGTGCAGTGTGGGTTCTCTCAGGGTTCTTCAGCTTCCTCCCACACAGTCCAAAAACATGTTGAGGTTAATTGGTGATTCTAAATTGTCTGTAGGTGTGACTGTGAGAGTGTTTGGTTGTCTGTCTCTAAGTGTAGCCCTGTGATAGACTGGTGACCTGTCCAGGGTGTCCCCTGCCTTCGCCCTGACTTGGCTGTGATAGACTCCAGCCCTCCATGAACCTAGTGAGGATCAAGCGGTGTATTGATGATGGATGGATGGATTTTGGTTAAAGAGCTTCTACATACTGCTGTATTAACCATTACAGGAACATAAAAAATGATTTTGGTTATTACCAATGCTGTTAGTTTAGGGCAACTTTGGCATAAACCTTACATTAGGTGGTGGTCTAATACATTTGTTAGGCACTGTATGTATGAGAAAATTCTCCATCATCCACACCTTTATAATTCATCATTAAAAAGGTTGTAGTTAAAGTAGCAACACAAGTTCTAAACTCTCTAGAAATCTTGTGCTCAACATACCCCAGGAATATTCACCGTCATGATGCTACAAGGTCGTAACCAGCAGCTGTATAATGTAAAGAGAGCACCATTACAGCAGCCAGCCTTTTAGAAACATACACAGGAGGGTTTTTTTTCTGTCTTCAATGTGAAGAGGAATGTGACTATTTGCACTGCAGACCAGTGCGTAGTTATTGTGGGATGAATAGAAGCACGTCCACATCCTCTGTTAACTTTCAAGGTCTGCATCAGTCTTGCTGAAAGCATGAACTGACCTTTAGAAACAGACCTGACATAGAATGCAGGGCTTCTCATTTGCCAGCAAAAACGTTTTCCTTCACCAGATTTTCTTTTTTTTTGTCATTTGATTTTATTTTGCTGGAAATTAAAGTTTTTCAAACCAAGTGAAGCAGCAAGTTACTGATAATATATGACTTAGAATAAGTGGATCCATCGTTGACAGCAGAATATTTCAAAGAAATTTTGTGGTCCAACAAACAAAATATTTTCTTCCTCAATTTCCTTTTTGTGAAAATTAGCTTCATTAAGCACATTTCTCCACAATTATCATTCCACTGCACTTATTCCCTATCCAACACACTTTATTTTCTTCAAACCCTAAAACCGTTTGAGACAGCACAGTATGATCGTCAACCACAGATGGCTTTTATATCTTCCACACTGGCAGGCGCCTAAGAACACATGTCATCCCATAAATTGCTTCATTCTCTGTTACAGTAAATCCCTTCATTTTCTCCTGTGGACAGAATAGAATAAGACAGGGAAGCTCATTTTGGATGTGCTGAGCCCAAATCATACTGAAAAGTACTTTAAAGAGGCTGGACGGGACCCAGTCTGCCCCTGTAGCTTAGACACCAACATCAGGCAGTGCGAGACATGACCTGTAAGTACTCCACCAGGGGAATGTTGTGTTTGGCAGTGTTTTTGAGGCCATAGACCCCTGTGGATGTTTAAACCATTGCCCTATTACTGTATAGACGCATACAGGGATTAATCTTCTCATTTGAAATTCCTGCCGAGTGCCACGATACATATACATGTCCTGCTGAGGAATGTAAGCCCAGGACTTTTATAAGTAGCTGTTGATAGAAGATCGTGTTGGAGCTTTGCCACAGACAGAGTAAACCACAGCAGACTTAAGAACACATACAGCACATCCATCCTTTCCAGTTTTTAAGCCTCTTTATTCCGCCAAGATCTCTTCTCCTCTGTCTCCTCTAGGCTTAAACTGATACATCTGTATATAGGACCCACATCAGCCTTATACTGTTTCCAGACACTGAGATCCGTTACAGTGAGCCTCCTCTTCTATCAGTTCATCTTCACGGGTGACAATCTGCTGTGAAACCGTCTCTACTATAAGATTATCTGTCATTTTGTAGTGTGCTTTTTTTTTTAAGCAGCTGTCACCAATATCTTTCCAGGGAACAATGGATCACATGGCTGACAAGAATAGTCAGGATACCGAAATTCTGCGAATACCTGCCTACATGTATCAGTAATATTAGGAGTGCACTGATACCGATACCGCAGGAAAACCTAAAACATCAGGAAAAATGAATCATTGATGAAGTGTTGTTGATCTGCAGCTTGTAGTAGCATGAGTTAACAATACCAGTGTAAATGCTGCTTTGTGTGTTTTCCACATTGGTAACTTAGCGAAAAAGATAAAACCAAACCAAATGGTCACTATTACCCCTAATTACCCCATCAGACTCCTGTAATGGAAGAACATTTGTTTTTCACAATCTAAATTGCTCTTGTTTGACTTATATTTGAGGGCACAATGTTAGTGTGTTATCTGTCATATTCACTAATCTGCCGCTTTTTGAGTCCTTTCAACAAGACAACATGTCTGTGAGCTAAATACTTTGCTAAGTTGCTTGTGTCAGCTCCCTTGCGTACATAAAACGTCTTTCACAGAAGGGTTTTGTGGTGCCGCTCTGATGTTTAGACTGCAGCCAAAATTATTTTTTTCATCCAATGTGTGAACGATTGGAAACTTGCAGTAGTTCTGTATCATGCTTACAAGAGTACTTCAAAGAGTTCTCAACCTCACAAGGAAAAGTCACTGTTCTTGTGTTATTTTTCAACATTGGCTCCTTTAACATTAACGCACTTGGTCCACCGATGTTCGAGCTTTGCTATCCCTTAGAGGAAGAAGGTCCCATCTTGAGCCTTCCAGAACAGTAGTGAAAGCTTTCACTACTGTTGAGAAAACATTGCATATTTCCTCCTCTTGACACACCTGATAAAAGACCAGTGGCAGGAGAGAGTTGGCGCAAACGTCTTCAACGTTTTTCTTGGTGAGTTGAGTGTTAGCATCGTATAAAGCCATCAGCTTCTTTAGCTGCTTCACTGCCTCAAACGTAGTCTCCAACATTAACCTGCACGTCAGAGCGACGACCTGATCATCATTCTGAAAATGTCGACTGCACAAGTGGGATTCAGTTTGGAAAACAGAAGTCAGACGGTGAAGGTTGGGTCAGTAAGGTTCATGAAGCAACAGTTCAAAGACACATTTAGCTGCTGTGGACAGATGTACTGTCCTGGAGCAACGGCAGCCAGCTCCAAGCTCTCCTTTCCTTTTTTCTATGATTGCTTTAATCATTTGAGTTTTTGTGCCCTAAAATGGGAGTTACCCCCCTAGTTCCCCAGTGAGGCTGAGAACTTGTGGAAGTACCCTTGTATAAGAAAGAAGCAGTTGGCCTGACCACGATACCTGCAGAGAGGAGAAGCACAGTGCTGCACACACACTCCTGCTGTCCTGCTGTTGCACATTGATGCGATTCACAGGAACTGAAACTTCTGTTAACTGCGGCCGTTCTTTAAGTACTGGTACTGAAAAAATAGGGAAGCCTTTTGTTTTTAATGTCAGAGGATTGCAGTACTTGTCTGGTATCGGTATACTGTGCAACACTATGACTGAGAAATAAAATGCAACACTAAAAATCCTCTTTATTTTAAATTTTACATACACACAATGCTTTTGTTCTATATTCTATCATTTGGCAAAGACTTTAAACCCTAAAAATACAATTCTAGGATAAGCACCTTTTAAATAATTAACAGTTGTAAAGTTGCTTGAGCAATGTTAAAAAAAAACCCAAAAGTTTACTTGTTATTGGCCTCTGGCTGCTCCAGAACACATAAAGCCTTTCTTTCCCATCCCCTCTCCATCCCCGCTGTGGCTGGAGGCCCAGCAGATTTAAAGCAGGATTGTAGCTGCTGGGCTCCTCCCAGGTGAAGCTCTGAACAGGGTGATGGATCAGCCTCTAGCGGGATGACTGCGCTGTAGAAAAACCAAACTTGGACCGCGCAGCTCCTCACCGCTGAGCATCCATTCAGAGGCAGATGGCGCCAAGTCGGTGTCCTGGCATCTCGTCCAAAAGACATTCTGCTCCTGATAAGGCGCCGTTTGGCTCCATGTACAAACTTGCTGCGTAGCCACAGCACGCCAGCAAACCTGTAAATGAGACTGCACACATGAGAATATTTAGTGTCAGCGGGAAACGTTGGACAAGCTAAAAGCAAAAATGGTATTTCTCATTAGTTTATTGTTCTTTTCATTGCCTGAAATGTGTTTTTTATCACCTGCAAGATTGTGTTTTACAGGCCAAACTAAACGATAATTTCAGTGAACTGTCACTTTTTGAATTGTTGTTTTTACACTTGATTGTAAATCATCCTGGGAATGTTTGCACTTTGTTTAAACTACGTTACATTTATAAATGCGACATGAACGGACTCCACCTGCTTTTGATAGCAGTCCTTCAGTGAACAAACCGCTTGCCTGAAATGCGGCGTTTTGCAGCGAGTGGTGATGTGTGATAGACACGGTTTACTTAAATATTTGTGTAAGCCAACACCAGCTCACTGAGTTCAGTGTTTGTTGTGAGCCAGCGAGCAGATGGATGATTAAACTAAATCCAACAACCATCACTGTCAGTCAGGTCAGAGGCAGTTTATGTTGCATGTGAGGAAAAAATGCACCGAATAAAGATTCTATGAAATAAAATCAAGAGAGAGTTGAACCTTATCTTAGTTTTTTGACTCAAGATGGTTAATAATTTGAATACACTGTAGTTTCATGTCCAATTTGTGAATAATTAACATGTAATTATTAAAAATAGCTTACTAGTGTCTTTTAAAGTGTGAAATGAAAGCAGGTGAAATGTCAGTTGATGTGTTAGCATCGTTATCTGAGAAACCACAGAGAAAGTCCTCAGAATTCTCTCTGACAAACGATTTTATTCTCAAAACACTGCTGAAGTAATTGAATTGACTCAATCACTGTCACCATTATTAAACCCAACTCTCAGCCCTATTTAGCTTCAGTCAAGGGGCAGGTGATGGCAAGACGATACAAGAGCTGTGACATTAATTTTAAAAAGTCATTATTATGCAAAGAGATAACCTGACAATAGATGGATAAAAGATCCTGTGATTTAAAATGAGGCTTTTATTTATTTCGTATCAAACACTTCAGAGCTCCATGTACAGTGTACAGGGTTCTATCTGGTTGCTGCTAATGTTTACATGTGCACCTCAGTGGAACGTTCTCAGTATTGTTGTGAAAGTGTATTTAATCCTCTGTCACTGACTGATCTTGCTGTTTTCTGCAGCTGCTGTGTGACTGAGCCGAGCTGCGCCGGAGCCCTCCTCCCCGAGGACTGCCCACACCTGCATCCTTAAACACTGCGACTCTACAATCTATCTCTTTCTACCAACTACCATGTGCATGTCCCGTTCAGAGCATCCTGTGTCGGCAAGTTAGACATTTCGTCCGTGACACCTGAACAAATACTGTTTTAGCATTATTTGCGGCTTTTCTGTCAGCAACTTTTTATTTAGTTGGAGGAAAGGAAATGATGCCTTGGAAAGGCTAACTCAGAATTTATCGACATTCCTCGAGCCATGTTATTTTGGACTACAAAAGTACTTTTTGAATTGTAGTATTTGTGAAATTATAACTTTTATAAATTCCTTTCCCTTTTAGACGCTCCTTTTTGAATACTAAAGCCAACACACAGGGTAACTTATTTCTATGAAGGAACTCATCCACACTCCTGCTGTAGTGATTGTTTTGGCTGAACTGACAGTTTGCTCAGTTTCAGCCACGTAACCGAGAACTGTGGTTGTTAGTGAGGTTTGCTGCATGCGCTCTACCTTAGTTTGTTTGCTTTCGTCTTATTTTTGTATTTTTGTCCTTCGTACATTCTCACCTTCTCTGCCTGTCTGCTCGTGACCTTTGATTTTCAGCTCCAAACATTCCAGTCAAACAGTCACAGTTTAAATATTAATGTACATCTTTTATTTCTATGCATTGATTTAAGAGATGCTTTATTCTTTCTTTAAAACGACAACCAAAGCTTGTGCTTGCTCTGTATTAGGCATGTCATACTGTTAATGCAATTCAGTGAGTTAGTTCTTTTCTTTTTGAAAGTACGCTTAAGGTTTAGTGACTTACTGTTGATTTCAGACTCGTGTTTAGTAAAACGTCTATTTATATACTGTGAGATTGCCTTTGACTGAAGTATTAAAAGTGCTCTTGTTAGTTGTCAGTGCCTAAAATGGCTTTGAATGTTGCCTTTATTTAAGTGTAAAGGTCCGGTCACACCAGGCTTCGAAACGGGAAAACCTAACTTGAATTCATTCCAGTTGAATCACTGTGATCACAGGGGGGAAGTAAATCAGCACAAGTGTTTCACATTAGCTTTAACTTTAGTGATCTCTGAATTTACACCGTTGACCAATAACAAGCTTTCTTTCTAGTGCTGACCTTTGAGGGGGAGAGAGTCCTATCACCACAATGGTTTTAGCTATTGTAGCTAATTACAACGGATTAGTCACCTGAAGGATTCGACCTTTGTGTCCTTCGTTATTGGCACCATCAACACTAGTCGGTTAAACTGATTATAATACTTCATTATGGTAAACTTTTGTGTCTAAGATGTTACACAGCATGTTTGGAAAGATTTTGTTGTAGAAAAGAAAAGATTGCAGGTAGTGTCACTATTAATAGCCATGTAACACTTGACTGGTGCGATGTGTAACCACAGGAACTCTGCAAACCAATACGACATTGTTAAACCGCTCTCAGAAAAGATAACGCAGCTCACCACAGCACTGTGCAAGATAGGCTTCCACTCTGCTGAAGGTTTTCAAGAGTTAATGTGATCTATTAAGGCTGGATACATGGTGCTGAGGTGGAAAATGATCTCATCCAGACTGGAGCACAACTCGTGTTTTCTTGCTTTAAGACTGATCTAAGTATGTCTAGTCAACAGGGAAACAAATCATTAGGAACATCCCTACCTGTGTCTTTTCTTAATCTCCTCTGAATAAAAAACTGCTCTACAGAGTAAGAAAGCTCTGCAGACGGTTCGGAGACAGCGGTTCAAGTGCCTCTTTTGAACACAAAAATGTTTGTTTATTCAGTAAATACCAGGACCTGAAGTCAGAGCCGCAGCGACGTCTTAGTTCAAATGGAAAAACAATTTAGAAAACACTACATACCATTTGTTTCACACATCTTGTCAGCGCAATATGTATAACTGGCAAACGGTAAAAAGACAACAGTGAACAGAAAACTGTAAAACTGCTTGCTGTTGTATAATCAGGAAGTGTACCGCTGACAAGGATGTGACTTCCAGCATTACTCGACTGCTGCCGAAATGTCGCTCATGTCTCTCAGTGAAGTCAAATGTTTGTTAGACATCTTAGTAACCAAAAGCATCCATGGTACTGGAACGTAGTAAAGCTCCTACCTGATGTCTAACACCCTACATTTTTACAGAAACCCTGATTATTGTCCTTGTACTGTGTTCTGGTGTGACCAGGCCTTGACCAGTAGGATCACGTCAGGTCTTGTTAACGTATTGCTAACAAACTACACTTCAAGATCATGATTCTTGACCAGGTGTAACTCAAACAGGAGAACCTCAGTGCGTATCGCTGGTAATGTGTGACTTCAACTGTCTCTGATGTTTGGTGAATGTGGTCCGACAGAAGCATCTAAAATAGCTCTATGTAACAGTAACGACCTTTGAACGGCGTAATCAACAAATCAGCTACTACCTTGATTTCTAGTTGTGTAAATAAAGTTTCGTTTAACCTTGATTGACATAGGTCCTTATTTATCTTGAGTTCAGCTGATTGAACTTTTCTACATTTTTTTTTCAGTTGAAATCCAAATGTGTTATTAATCTACAACTTGTATGCCAATAAACGAAACATGTACATATTTTATCTCTTGCTGCCTTCTTGTCTTATTTTGGTTCTTTCTTTACTCCATGGCCTAATTTCAGCATTGTTTTCCTGTTTTAGTTATTTGTAGAAGTGTCAGCAATAGGTTGCTTTGCCTGAAAATGAACTTTTGTTCGTCAATATGCCCGACACAAGAAGGCTGCATGTGTGAAGTTCATCATGGTTTGCACTGTCTGTGATAAAGAGCAGCTGATTTCTCAGAAGGGCGCAAGATGGCCTTTATCTCACCGTGACGTAGATGTGAATATGCTCAACCGACCAACAGCATGAAGATCAGCTGCCTAATATTGTGTGGCTCCCTCCTCTCGCCATCACATTAGTTCTGATCCATCAGGCCGTGGACTCGGAGCTGCCGGGACTGTCTCGTAGTGTCTGGCACTGGGGAGTGCAGGTTCAGGTTGAGGCCTCTGTGAATCTGGGTTCTTTCGGCGAGGTACTATTGGGATCTGTGGGGAGGTATGGAGGCTGAGCAGTTCTAGCAGTGTGGGATGGTGCAACGTGCTGCCAGGAGATGGCACTAGTGACAGGGAGGGCTGTTGCCATTGTGATGTGCTTGGTCTGCGGTTGGGTGGCACGAGTCAGAGTACCATCCACATGAATGCACAGAACACTACACTGTAACAAGAAGATCAACGGTGTTTACTTCACCTGCAGTGGTTTTTAGTTTATATTTATTGTTGCGGCTGATTGTTTGTGTGTGTGGGAGTGTATGATTTTTAGTTCAGCAAGTAACAATTAAAGCACCTCAGGGGGTTACTGCCAAAGTGGGCCAAACCACATTAACTAGTTTCCAGAAAAATGGGGTCCAAATTTTTTGTTGCTAAAAAAAAGGTCCTGGTTGTTAGAGGAGTGATTATATGCATCCAAAGATGTTTCAAAACTGTCCAGAGATAGAAACAGCTACTCTTTGGTGACTTATTTACGTTTTAATTTTGCCTTTTCTTTTGCTGAGTCCCAAAGCGGGTCATACCACATTTACTACTTTTTTTGAGAAAAACAGTGATTCAAAGTTTGTCTTGCTAAACAGCATTGAAGAGTTTACATCATAAGGAACTAGAGGTACATTTGTGGACCATGGGGTAGAAATAGATGCTTGGTGGTGGTTCATGAAGTTTTCATTTTACCTTACCGTACCAACAAGTTGAGTTTTCATGGGGCTTGAGGTCGCGCTGCCCGCCACGTTGAATTGCAAGCACATGCAACTACCTAAGATATAATGGTAAGCAGTTTCTGTGGCTTGGCCCAGTTTGGCACTAAATTTTGATGCAAAAACCATTTTGGGCCAAACTTCAGAGTGACATTGTGGCATTACTAGTGGGCTGTTGGTTGGACCAACAGTGGTTTTGTGGTTTGCTCTGCTTTGGCACTGAACGCCTCAATTAAAAGAGGCAAACTTATCTAATTAAGTAAAATTAATAATCATATAAAGGAAGTTGATGTAATGAAACTGATCATGAGTTTTTCCAGTGCAAAGAACAAAGTAACCCTTGAATTAAGCTTTTTTTTTTTCTCTCTCATTTGGTCACAGATTTCCTCACTTTAAAACAAGACACAAGCTTGATTTGTCTGCACGGTTTCAAATGTTTATTTCAAATGCTTATCATTTAACAACTTTTGACAGTGCAGCATCTGAAGGCTACTGAATAATAAGGTTGAACCTCTGACTAGACTGTCAGTGGTCAAGTTGCCACGTTTTGGAAGGAAACTGTTCCTTGTGAGTTGGACGGTATGATGCTGAATCAGTGCAATGCATTTAAGATGTGTGACACATTTTCCAGTAGTTAAAACAACACTGAAGGGTCGGCCTCTAAAACCAGCAGTAAGTTGACTTCTGCAGTCAGTGTCCTGACACCTCGCTGTGTGGAGGCGAACGCCCTACTGAACAGCTATTTCTGGCATTTCAGCAGCATGTCACGGCGATCACCAGCAAACAGTCGACTCTGTAACTCCAGCGAAAGCTTGTGAGTGGTCTCTTAAAATCTTATTGGCAGCAGTTTTACAATTACTGCATTCCTCTTGATCTTGGCGTCGCTTCATCTATTTTCACAAGAGTTTTATTCTCACATTTTCTGTGTGTTCCACCTCATTACTGCCTTTGTTTTTTATTTGACTCAAAAACCCATAAAACTCACTGCAACACGGACCCGGAGCCCAGAAGTTCACCGTTCTGGTCCACGCGGTCCCGACCTCGTGACAGTCGACTATCAAAGTTTAACACGAGGTTCTGTGTGTCTCTCTGCAGGAGACTAAAAAAGCCTCTGCTGTCACACTTCTCTCCCAGGGTTTTGCGTCATCAGTGCCATGTGGCATTTTGACAAGGAACATGGAAGTAATTTGATAAATTATCTTGGAAAAGATTTATGTTACAATGAATACTTTATTTTACAATTACTCTCGTACATTCACTCCAGTAAACTTTGGTTTTCAGCTGAGCGAGGCGGTGGAGGGAGTAACCCGGTGCTACTCTCTGAGGTGAAAAAGCAAATAAAAATAGGACTTTAAGGACATGAAAGCAAACCAGTGTACTTTTAAAGTTCATAAAACAATTTCCCATCAGCCCCACTGAGAGCCCCTCTGTCCTCCGCTGACTGACGACCGTAGATAGATAAAACCATGATCACAGCTCTCAGTGGCCTCGCAGAACAATGTGGCATTTTTAAAACCAAACATCTGGTGATGAAAGGAGCAAACGCTGAACAATAATCTCTCTCTGTTTTATGACAAACTAAAGCTCGTACACTGATTTAAAAACAGAAAAGGCCACTATATTCAATTCAAATGTATTTGTATAGCGCAGTTTACAACATATGTCATCACATAGTGCTTAACAAAGTAAGGCATAGACCTTACAAATGCAATATGTTTGCAATATATCCGAAAGTCTGAAAAATATGAAGGACATTTCGGTAAGTCTGAGGCGAAGAAGAGTATCAGAGCAACTGTTCAGACAATACACATTTAAACATGTGATCCCCCACAGGATTACAAGAACCAGCTAAATATTGTATATTTTCAGGTAATATGTGTGATTTTGGAAGCCTTTTGTTTTCTAACAGGGTTTAAATGATAAAGACTCTGTGATTCAGAACCAGGGGTGCTTGTAGCACAGGGGGTCATTTTGCAGTTTCTTTTTATTTAACTGTTATTTTAAGCTAGATGTTTATTCACTTTCATTTAAACAACACAGTCAAGAGAAGACGTAGCTCACATAGACGTATAATGACAAAAAGAAAAAAGACACAAACAAAAAACAGGCAGATGCAACATTATCCTAAAAATAGTACGCGCATAAGTTTAAGGGCTGTTTTAAAGTAATCTCACTACATTAACGATTAGATATTTGTGTCACATCTGGCACAGAGCGAGTCAATGATCGTGTTTCGTCGTCTAACTGTGAACCAAATCTCTCATGACTTCACATTATCTTCGCTTTCTACCATATCTGACACATTAATGCTCCCCGATAGCTGCGTAAAGGCGCCACAAATCCCTTTCAGAAGACAAGTCATCTACTGAATACCACAGCTAATGCTCCTCTCTCTCTAATCTACTGGCTCATGTTGCCTCTGAATGCTGGATTCTGTTTCTTGATGAGACTGCTGTGGGAGATTATAACCACCAAAATATTCATTTTAAGATCCAGGAGCAACTGAACTTCCAGTATTTTGTGTATTATTTGTGAAATCTTGCACCAAGAAGGCTATGAAACAACTATGCTTGTTTGTGTACACAGGATTGTTGGTGGTTGCTGAAGCACAAATAAAACAAAAACAGACTTTATGAGGGACTTTGGAAATGATATATCTTATTAATCTCAGGCTGCATATGGAATCTGTATGTTTGAGAGGAATGAAAACAATTACATGTCAACCACACAAAGTTAAACACCATTTCTGTGACTGTGTGGAGCTTTTTCCAGGAAACACTGGAGATGTGCGTAAAGCTGACGGGCTTCTCGTCTCTGAGGGAAGCGGCGGTGTCGGGTCCTCCTGCTGGGTGATTCAGCTCAGCTTAAACTGCAGCACAACACATCGCCCAGATGGCTTCCCTCCAGCATCCACAGCTCGTGTTCTCCAACAGAGAAGGCAGCTCTAATTTAAAGCCCACATAAAGATCTGGGGCAGCTCACTGCCTCTGTTCTACATGGATGTGCTTATGATGACTGTAATTCATTGGCTTTATGGTTTATTGGATGTATTCTGGCCCAAAATGCATAATTGGGTTTTACTGTAAACACCCCTCCCCTCTGCCGGTGGGCTTTGAAACCAGCTCTGGATGTGGCTGGCGGAGAAACGTGGGATTGTTTGGTATGTGAACGCAACTTGGTTTCATGAAACAGCTTTGGCTCATGCTGTACATGTGGCCTTTTCTTTCTACTGGGCACAAACGTGAAAATGTGTTCATTTGCCAAATTAGAAACTACAGATGACCTGTAATGTCCTTCGCTGGCTACCTCTCACCCAGTGCATGCTGGGATAGATGGCATCATTCCACGACGGTGAAAGATGTAAATGCTTCAGAGGAGGCATGAACAGGCCACAGAGAAGCTCAGGTTACCTGCTGACTGGAGAGAAACATTGTAATGTGTGATTCAGGCCACAAGAGCTCAGTGTTGTACCGCTGCAGAGGCTCCGGATGAAGTGTGCCTCAGATAATCACAGCTGCAGCATCTTTGAGGGCACAGAGGTCATGTCCTGTTGCTTTTATTGCTGAGAATCTTGGAGTCAAAAGTGCAGTTTGCAATTTAAAATCCAAACAGTAACTGGTCTGTAAAGACAGAAGCAATGAAAAAATACAGGTGTTCCTACACTATCCCACCCTCTGGGTTTTGCCTCTCAGTGCTCCAGCTTGTACTTTACAGCCTGCTACTATGAGCTGGACTGTCTCATAGATAGATCCTCTATCCAGGCCATGTGTCCCTACGGCCGTTGCAGTGGCCTCACAGTCAGGCCCTGTGTCCTTCAGACTGGCATTTTGAAAGCACAAATGTTTTAGTGGGTGACTGTGGCTCAGGTGGTTGTCCTCTAATCACAAGGCTGGCGGTTCGATCCCCAGCCCCTCCACAGTCAAAGTGTCCTTGGGCAAGACACTGAAGTTGCTCCCAATGGACCATCACTCCCCACTGTGACCTCAATAATAAACATAAAGCAGAATTATCACCTTTTTGACATCAACAAAATAAAAAATGTTAAAGGCTCTGTTGAATTTCATAGAAATCTTAAAAACCTGATGACTCTTAGGCAAGTTCTGCAGTGTTCCAAAACTATATATATATATATTTTACAGTAGTAAGATCAGGATTTCATAATAGGAACTGCTAATTCAGCCATTTAACCACATTTCCCAGCAGGAATGGGAACGGGGATCCATAAAACATAATACTTAATGTTCCTTGTAAATGCTTGCAAGTCTGTACTGGTGAACACTTTTAACATTAATATTGATATTGCAGCATTGCATTAGGCAGCTCCATCTCCACTGTCTTCATAAGTATTGTGTTGTTTGATGGCTTCCTTAAATGAAGAGTTCATGATTTTATTCTAATACACGTTTCATCATCATCAGACTGACACGTACAACACTATTCCAGCGTGATGCACATGACAAGAGGCCGTATGATTGACAGCTAATCTGGTACATGCGGATCATCTAAATGTAATACCTGGCTCGGCAATCTTTACCCAGAATCACAGACTCCACCTTTTATCGTTTTCATAACAAGGAGATCTTTTCTATTAGTTACTAGACAGTAATGTCATAGTTACAAATTATATACATACATCATTTTTTTTAATACAGTGTGCCCATTTAGTCGAATTGTTTTAAACTGTTCTTGTCGTCATGCTCTGTTTTTATCCAGTTAACTGTGGCATCAGTGTCTCCTCTCATTTCTAGAAGCGGAATGTATCCTGTATCGTTTCTAACATTAAAAGTGCCTAAAGCAAATGTAAATAAAATGTGTACCTTCAATGTAAGATTTACCGATGTCTTCTAGTTGTGCCTTTTTCTTTTAATTTTTAAGACCTGCAGATTCCCTGATACCTTGATATTTTGGAATAGTGTGTCTTAAAAGGGAGGTGATATGTCTGATGTATGGTTTGAATAAACATACAGCCATAACAGACCATGTGAGGCACACATGTAAGAATGATTCAGAAAGTATTCAGATGGCACAAATTTATTGCGTTGTAAATTGGATTTTAATCTATATTATAGGTCATAATGACAATTCAAAATCTGATCTGTTTGAGATGAAAGGGTTGAAAGTCAAATACAGAGGCTCTTGAAGAAGATAAAGAAATCTTTGAGAACAGTCTCTCTTTAGAAGATAAACTGATGACCCAAAAATATCAGCTGTCAGCAGCAGAAAAACCAAGACGACTGAACACACAAGCCACAACAAAATCAATAATGACAACAAGATGAATGTGAATAACGGTAAACAGCAAAGGTTTAGTTGCTCCGTAACTCAGACCTTTATTATAGTTTAACACACAAAGCACATTGTTTCGTACGCTCAGTTCAAGTATACTGTTAGTATACATAATGTAGCTGTTCAACATGTACTGTGCCCTCAGAAAACAGAGGACCAGTTTGATAGCACCATTACAAAAAGTACATTAAAACTGGATTCACACACATTATTGTAAAAAAGAATGAAACAGGGAATAAAAACAATGTAACTTTAACATATGAATTACTGGTGTGTTGTTTTTGAAAACTGCGAGAGGAGAAAAACAACACATCTGTAACAGACCGTCTAACAGGGAGAAATGTGCTCTCTCTGTGCTGAGAGGATGCGATCCGTGTCGCCACAGGATAGAAATCACCTCCTCGGTCCTCGTGAGGAGAACATAAAGCAGTGAGAGGAAGTGGCTGAAACCTTCCTTTAATTGACAGCATGTCACTGGAGGATAGTCCTGGTGTAGGAAGACTGAAGACTCCTCTGGACTGTCTTAAAGCACATATCATTAATATTTTTACTATTTAAAAGAAGAAAAAGGTTGTTGCAGAAACGTCATAAACACTAGATGCATCGTACCTTTGTGGACACACACAGACCCTTGTGGACACCGTGGACGAGCAAAAGTGGAAGCTACTACAGTAGTATAAAAGTAGTATAATAGAAAAAAAAAAAAAGCTGCATGTCCATGATGTCCGCAGATGTCTGAACGCACCCACAAGAAAGTATGATAGAGGCTTAACACTGGCCTGAGTCTTTAAGCTGTACGGTTGCTACAGCTGGTTAACTAAGCTGGTTAACCTGCTAACTGCCCTGCAGGCTGGAAGCTCAAACTGCTGGGGTGACTGGTCTTGTCCTGTACCCTGCACATGGAAATGAATGTTATCTAAAAAAAGTGGCACAGCAAAATGAATCCTAAAATGCTAAAACACTATCTGACTGGTAAATCACAATAGCTCCAGCAGGTTCTCCGAGAAACCTGCTGATGATTACACACACAGTCCGTTAGCTAATTAGTTAACTTGGCTTTGTTGCTAACAGAATAATAACTTAACAGATAATCAGACATGTTTCGGTGCAGTTAATACGTCACCACCAGAGGACATTAAACTGGAGAGTGTAGTTCAGCACAGCTAATTAGCAACGATGGCACACCGGCTCATCGCCTCATTCTTTAAAATATTTAAGATGGGTGTTGCTATCAGAGAGTGGTTCAAATTTGGAAGTCTCAAACCCACTGTTTCAGTTAACTCGATACAACAAATTTGTGCCGTTTTACTTTCACTTAACTGTAACCCACTGGAATGAACCGAGATTAGTGGTACGTTTCTCAGTTTTACATGATGACGTGGATAGGCCTTTATGCGCTTAAAAGACCCTCTCTGAAGTTAACAGCTAATAATTCATCTGTGTGTATCAAAGTCACATTATTAGAAGGTTTTTCCATGAAAATGATCCCTTCCTGCCTTGAAATGACGTAAATGTAACACTACACTTGGTTCCTCTAACATCTATGAAGTCCCTCTCTCTCTCTTCACTCAGCCCTCCTCATTCACTACTGATGAAGCAAACCAGCTCACCGAGGACTCAGTAATTTAGCTCAAACCGGATACTAACAGGATTGGTTCCATAGGTTTGTTATGTATGAGCCTGTCTTTGATATGCAGTTTCATGATGGAAATGTTCAGCCATGCTGGTGCCAGCATAGAAAAAAAACACCATATGGACATGTTAGGAAATGTGACGGAGAGGAGAGGGTCTTTAAAAAAATGTCACTGGCTTTATGCAAGGAGAAGTCTACCGTTCATTCACAGTCTCATTTCAGCATGGCACTGTGGCACTCTTCAAAATGAAAAACCTTATACAATTAATTTAAAGAAGTCTGATAAAAACGTAACTCAACACCAGGTGAAAAAGCAGTCGTTTACTGCCAGCTGTGGCTGAAAGTTTCAAGTTTGTTTAGCATCTAATAAAACTCTGCTGTGGTCATACGTGTTCTGTCGCACCTGCAACCACATCCAACAGGGACATCACAAAGCACCACCTGGAGTACGCCTGTCCATCACCGCAGCAAGGTGGGAGTTAAACCACTGGAGGGCAGCAAAAACAAGCTTCTGATGTTATGTGTTCAGTTTTTAAGGATCGCACTGCTTTCTAGCATTGGGCGCTTGACAGGTGTAAAGTACCCAAGACCTCAACTTTATGCAAATGAGGAGCAGGCAATGAGGAGCAGGCAATGCAATGCAACGCTACCAAAACACACTGCAGAGTGGCTCACATAGACAATGAATGGGAGGCGCTGAAGTGATGATGGACACGTACCATGAGACGGTGTTAAGGTGCTCTTTAACGACGGGAGACGTAATGAATGTAAAGGTGAAAGAAAAAAGAAACATGAGTTTCTCATATTAGCTTCAGAAACAAATATTGCTACATATAAACAGGAAAGCTAAGAATATTATTTATGTCTAGGATAAATGAGCTCGCTTCCACCACACCTTCACAACACCAAAGGACAGTAGTGCAAATCTTTTTGGATCGTGACTACAGTCTAAGCCCATTTACTTTAGTTAGATCAGTGAAGAAGATGCTCCAATTAAAAGAAAAAAAAGGCCTTTGGGCATTTTAAGGCACTTTAGTATGTCACGTTTCAGCCATGGTAGATTAGTCTTGCAGCTGAATCAGGCAATTAGCTCTTGTAATTGGTGATGAACGGGCTGTTTGCTTTTTGAGGACTTGCTTCTGCCACAGTTTATTTGCATAAACTCCTGAAGAAGTAAAGCGTGTGCTTTCACCTTAAATACCCGACATGCAATAGAAACACTTGTGTAACATAACCTCAGTGTATCTGGACTTCAGTGTGTAAAAGGCACTTTGTGAAACTGTTGAAAAGTGGAAGAAAAGGACCTGCACGGTTACACACAGGCAGCTGCTGCTGTTATCGATAATTTCTCTCAATCTTCAGGCGACCTGGCACAAACATCCAAACTCTCCGGGGAGAGCTTTGAACAAAGATACACTGCAACAGAGTGCTGTTAAAGTGCTCCATTTAAAAAAAAAAAAAAGCTCATTCTAGATGACATTCCCCGATGCTGCACCTTGTGTAAAACACTGCCTCGAACCTGCAGGTTTATTCAGCACTCATGAAAAAGTAAAAGGTCTCTCAGTCACAGAGCACGCAAAGAGCTTCACCAGTCTCTTGATCTTAACCAAGGAAGTTGGAAGCACTGGTAAAACAGTAGCTGCCTCTGTCTAGACAGGAGGAGGAATCAAATATTCTTTCTGCTGAAGGGAAAAGGGGGGTGGAGTGTCAAAGAAAGCTGCTGCTTCATGGATGAGGGGAACATAAAAAGAGGTGGTTTGACCAGGACATAGCTGGCAGGAGGAATCCAGCACAGATTGAGGTGTGCAGTGGTTGGAGGGCTTCAGACAGTCTTCCTGCTGGAGGGAATGGCCAGATCACTCTTCTGCTTCTTCTTTACCTGTGGGTCACCTGGTTGTTGAGGAGGCCTGGGAACGTCTGTTCTGTTTCAGTGCTTAATGAGCCACCTAGCAGTAGAGCAGCAGACACAGACAGTTACCACCCACACACTTTGTCCTTGTTTCACATCCCACACCAACAGGTCCGTTTGTTTTCAGATTGTAGATATGTAGCAGATTTGGAAGGTATCTGGTTGGTTCTCTGACATGCCTACGTTAAAAATTAAAAGTATACGATTGCTGATTCCCAAACAGCGGTACTTGTGCCCATCTGAGGGCTTTTGCAGTTTTCAAGAGGTATACAGAAAGATTAGTGCCACTCATTAAACATAAAAATTACAAAATGACATTTTAGAAACTAGAATGTCACCATTAAGTCAGTTGTAACTGCTGAGAGTCATGACAACAAGGTCAGAAAAGCAGAGAACTGTCTGCTGACGTATTGGACAATCTAAATGTTTCAATAATTACCTAAATGCAAGCTATACATAAAGTTGAAATCAGAAGTTTACATACACTGCATAAAAGACACATAACCCTTTTTTTTTCCCTCACTGCCTGACTGATTAAATCAGACTAAACCTTTCCTGTTTTAGGTCAGTTAGGATTACCAAAATTACTTCTGTTTGCTAAATGCAAGAACAAAGAGAGAGATTTTTTAGACCTTTTTTTTTTGTAATCCTAACTGACCTAAAAGAGGAAAAGTTTAGTCTGATTTAATGTCAGACAGAAAAAAAGGTTATGTGTCTTTTCATACAGTATATGGAAACTTCTGGTTTCAACTGTAGTTGCCTGAAAGTAATAAATTAAACAGTTAACTAAATGTTATGAATAACTAGGTAAGTAAATAATAGCTGGCTGAAAAAGGATTTGTTCCAGTATTTAATGCTAGCTAAAAGTGATGGCTAAATGGTTTAGTTAGCTAAAAGCAATGAATATATGGTCAGTATAGACAGCTAGATTAGCTGTGATGTTAAAGCAAAAGCTATGACTGGCTAAATGCAATAGATGCAAAAATTACAGTTGTAAACTAAGATAATGTGTAAACTTGGGTATGACAAAATGAATACCAAACTGTATTACAGGAGACTTGAAACTAGCAACTGAGACCATAAAGTCATCAGAATAATGTTTCCTGATGTAGTAAACGAAGTGAGAATTAGGACAATTTTTCTTATAGACTTTTATTTGTCTTTGGCTGGCTGGCTTAAGACACTTGAGCACTGGCTTCACTTTCAGACCTGGAAGTTATGTCTACTTCTTTTGTACCATCTGTGGTTTCAAATCTGTGTAGACTGTCTTAACATTTGCATTTTGTGCTACATCTGACTTCTCTATAGTGAAATCATACATCCTGGAATATCTGCTGCTCGACTGGACAGACCAATTTAACTAATTCTGAAATAACATATGGTAGTTTATCAGCATTTCAAAGACACAGATAGTCTTCTAAACCACAGCAGTGTCCTACCGTTATGGCAGCTGTACATCCACACACGGTGGCCATCATATCGACATCTGCATTTCATGATGTTGTTGCTGTAGTCCGACTCTGGTACCTCATAGTTTGGATTAATTATAATCTATAGGAAAGAGGACAGCAATGAGTCGGGGATATTGACTGAAAGACACAAACGCATTAGAGTAGATTCAGAGAAAAAGCTACAGGACATTGGAAACATCACCTGGAAAATGTAATCCCCAGGTTTGAGCTCGGTGATGTCAATCCACTGGCAGTCGATGTCGTGTCTGTAGGTATCCCAGCAGCCCACGGTGATACCCTGCTCTCCAAAATTAGCACACTCATACCTTTTTTCAATACCTGCAATAACAAATAAAAACATTTCAGCAAACAAACCCTCTGAAAGCATTTGATAAAATGTTAAAGCTGATGAATCAATTTTTTTAGCCACTTTGGATTGGAAGAACAAGTTGTAACCATTTATGTTTGATGTGCTTATACAGTTGTTGGTGTGCACTTATATATCCTACTGACAGAGTTTATTTGCCATTGCCTATCTGGACACTTTATGTATTCAATTTTCAGTTTAATTCAGTTTTATTTGCATAGCAACATATGTCATCTCACAGCACTTAACAGAGTAAGGTGAAGACCTTATGAATTTAAACAAGAACCCAACAATCCAAAGTTGCCTTTGGACTCCCTCTGAGCAAGATGTATGTAAATCCACAACTAATTCTCTCTTGGTCTCACGCAGCATCTGAGAAAAAATATCTGACTCCTTGGTTACTAAATTCTCCACCATGTTTTAAAACTAGCTGTTGACATTTTCTGTTCTTGCTGCAGATATATGTAAACAAACAGTTGCCTTGCGTCTGGAAATGAGGTTGATACGAGCAGTGAACCAAAACAGTAAAGTAGTGACCTGTTAAAATTAAAACAGTGAGCTAAAAGATGCTAAAAAGCTCCTTAGATCTGACTGGAACTGCAGAGTTGCTGAATTATTCTCTGTAGGTTTGTTCCTAGAGATGACCCCATTCCGTATTACACACAGTCATTTGGTCCACCATTTGAATACAGAAGTATTTGATGCAGTTTTAAAATGCTATATTTAATATAAATAGGGACTTTTGCCACATTTCCGAAAAGTATAAGTAAAAAACAGTCCTGTGGTGGTTCTTACCTTCGTCACACTCAGAGTCCTCCAGGCAGAAACTTGCTTTGTGTCCTTCTGCCACTTTGGTTCCATTGAGGCTGAACAGATCGTAGATGGTGAACACCTCCATGCTGTGATAATGCCTACGCACAGACAGAAATGCATTTTTACAAACCTACTCAGGCTGAAAAACAGTCGTATGTGAAGTTGATTACTGCTGCTCTGGTCTCCTGTGCATCAAGATCCTTAAAGATTAAAAACTAAAGTTGCACATTGACACCTGTAATTCACGGCACATCTTGTAGGTAGTATAATCTCTTTTTAGGGGTTCTGCCAGTCCTGACAAATGGAAAGCTGGTAGCCGTATGAAGCTGCCAACAATTTTCTCCAGTGAAGACGGGAACCACAAAAATGTGGGAGTTTTTGCAGCGCAAGTAGCTTTAGCTCAAAGTACGCGGTCAATTACAAGGCAGCGGAACATATGGATGTCTAATTTGAGATGTGGTTCCTGATTCATCCAAATGTCTTCTTTAATTATGTGGCTAAGCTATGAAGTAATGTCTCTCTTGATGAAGTCAAATCTCATTGTTTTGAAATCTTATTCATAACAACACGTTTTACTAAAGTCATAATGATTTACAATGAAGCTGCGATTTATGTTTCTAGAATATAAACTGAAAAGTTGCACTGTGTGATGAATGTGTTTCAGTGTGCGCGCTGTTCAAGGAGAGCTGCACTGGCGTCCTTTCATATTTGATTTGAATTTTAAGCTCAATAATTTATATCAACCACGATCAGATTTTTTGTCCTTTGTTTTCCATGAGTTAGATAAGAAGGTCAATATAAATGTCATGTAATTGTGATAAGCATGCAGCTGAAACCAGGCTGTGTTTGGCCTAGCTTAGCATAAACGCAAGGAAGAAAATTTAAAAATACTAGCAACACCTCTAGAGCTCAATAATGAACCGATATTGCTGTTGATTCGTATAAAAATGTAAAGATGAAAACACAGATTCATAAATCCAGCTGTCATGACCACTGTATGAAGAAGATTGCTACTGTGAAATGACTGTATGAATAACTCAAGTACTCGATGCTGACCTGTGACAGTCGTGCCACACCCAGGAGTGTCTGCCAGCTTTGGGCCGGAAGTCGGACTGTCCGTTGTTGTGAATCTGGGAGGAGAAGCGCAGCAGGCGGCGGTAGGAGTTGGCCGGTACCTGGCTGGACGTGGAGGACAGACAGTTCTCCTCGTACGCACACTGCAGCATGAACATGGGCCGGTCCTCCATGTAGGTGGTCTGCTCCACCACCTGAGGGTTCAACACCAGGTCGGGAGCCGCTGTGGACGGGAGGATGTGATTTAAAAAAGAAAAGAAAAAAAATAAAACCCACAGAGAAGCAGACAGAGACAAAACAGATTTAGAAACAGAGAAATGGCTCTATACAAAGTAAATGAGTGGTTTCTGTTTCAGACTGCACAGCCCTCTGGTGACTTTCAGTTATGCAAACATTTCTCTGAGGCAAAGCTTCTTCTGAGCCAGAAATAATTTCATTTGTTGAATTAAAACTCAATGTGCAGAGCAAAAGAGTGAACGCTTTTTAGTGTGAAGTGATAAATTGCATAGCAAAGGCGCCAGTCAAAGTATAATTAAAAGTGGAAATGTCAATTACTTCTTTCCTTTATTCATCAATTCATGGCCAGCCGGCGTTCAGGATCTCAGAGGGGCGGCAGGCAAACTTTCCAGATGCAACATTACATGACTTGTCAGCACACTGCAGCCACATTAGAATTGCAATATCTTACTCTCTGAGCAGGAGACACCGGCGGCGTTGCGTCCGCCTCCTTTAGGGCAGCTGAGGTGGGCTCCGTGGTGCAGGCAGTGGGACAGAGACATCTCGGTTCCAGAGCAGCGAACACCACTCATCACCACAGCGTCCGCGCCCACCTGCCCCGGCCAATACCACGTTTCCTGTGGAGGAGAAGCACGGTTCAGATCTGACATGAGGGCGATGTTCACGAAACATCCACACACTCACTACACTTAGCATACACGCATGAACTGGGCAATGTGGAAATCCTGAAGCAAAGTTCACTTAAATACAACTTTATGATTAGATTCCACACATTTGCACAGATATTGGCCTTTAAAAAACTGCGGTCTACTTTAAATATGAAAACGGTGCTTCCCTGATCACTATCATTCATTTTCTTAAGTATTTCTGTCAGATGTGCTTGAGACGGAATACTGAAAAACATTCTGTGTGGGCGATGAATGTCATCAGAATCAATACTTTGGTACCAAGTCAATGCTGAAAGTACTTGTTTTTCTGTGGTGCTGTTGATGCTGCAGGTTTTGGACATACTGGACAATAACAACCACATGTGGAATGGTGATAGCTATTTGAGGATATATATAAAAAAATATCTGGAGATGGTTGTATTTGAGTCAGATTATCAGGGACATGTTATGGACAACCAGAAGCCAGAATGCAGTGTATCAGAGCATTTGGAACAAACAGAGGAAACAACTCAAACTTTACAAAGCAGAAGTCAGGTAAGTGAAGTCAAACATATTATGTTACAACTTTTTGTGCTGCTTGATACAAAAAGAAAATGTGCAAAGTTCTTATTTTCTATGATTAATCTACCAGAGAAGTCTATCTGATGTAATTTAACCTGATTTAAGGGTTCTTGAATTTGATGTTGTTTTCATACACGAGACAGAGTTCGTTGACATGCAGGCTCCACATGTGCACAGCAAAATTAGCAAGGAACAGGAGAGAAACACTGAAAAGAAAGATTTGGTTGCAAAGAGAAATGGGACATCCGTTAGGTGGAGATACTTCAGCTGCAGAAGGGATGATGTATGAAGGTAATCTGTCAGCAGTGTCCTGCTGTCCTACATGAGGCGATATGATTAATTTGTTTGACCATTTAAATCAGTGCTACCAAGCTCTGTATGATGAGTGCAAAGCCAGATCTGAATGTCATCCAAAGCAAAAACCTATTTCAGATTACTTTATCTGTGTTACATGATATGAGAGAGAAACCACTGATGTGGAAACTTTTCACCTCATTAAGTATGCAATTTTTTTTTTCAAGTTGTCATCCCAGAGCTGCCTGAAAAATGCAGCACACAAGTGGAAGCACAGCAATCACAAGTGGAACATTATGCAGCTGCAACAGGTTTGTGGTCAAGCTGGACAACAGAGCTCTACATCAGTCCTATCCAGAGCTGTAAAATAAAAATGATTACTGCACTCCCTATTAATAATTATTTTCATGGTCAGCACAACCCTTAAATAGTTTTTTTTTAAGTGACAGATGGTGCTATAACACAATGAATTGCCGCGAAGGAAGGTGAGTGCCCCCTCTGACCACTAGAGGGAGCACCCAGTCCTCAAATAGCATCATGGATGGGACATTATATTATGCTGATGATGGTGTATCAAACAGATCATTACATTGCGACTTTTTTCCACGTTGTACAATGTTATTACCTGGTATGTATTTATTTCCAAAAAGTGCAACTTTAACTGCCAAATAAGGGCTTTTAAAATTATATTCCTATGTCTCTGATGAAGTAAAAAACCTTAGTAAATGCACTCTATTACAGCTGGCCGTCCTTCCATATGTATAATCACGCAGCTCTTGATTTCACAACTCTGCAAACACTTTCTGCTAGCATGAAGCCCCTCCACCTCACCTGCTCCTACCATCACCCTGCTGCACTGTAAACAGTGTTTTGGGTCAGCCAGTTCACACCCAGGCCTTTCCTAACGTCTTACATGTGACGGCAGTAAGCAGAGGTAACAGAAGGCCGTTTGTCCTTCTTAGCCACCACATATCCACAGAAACACAGGACAGAGGATGTATGGAGGTATGTAGCTACCAATAATAATAATAAAAAATAATCAAACTGATATCAAATCATTTACTTTTCATGTTGTTTTTTTTTCTGTGTGCATGATTAATTACAAAAGTAAAATAAAAAATTAAAATGTATAGTAACTGTCAAATGAAAATTACAACTCTACTGACATAGTTTTCAGCTGCTGTAAGATTGTATCTTAAAGAGAAAAAAAAAGAAGTTAAAAAATGTTAGAAATACAAGCGTATCCTGGTTAAAAAAACAAAAACAAACAAACAAAAAAAAAAACAGTTTTGGTCTCTATAAATTATTTTCCTGTTCATGACCAGTGTATGGCGGTGATTTTTTTAATATATACATCACTAATTCAAATTTTATAAAGGCTAAAAGTTGTGCATTAAATAAGTGTTTAGTCTGACTAAGGTGTGTGCAGTCATGTCCACCTACAGATGTTTGCATGGTCTTCCATTTTGCATTTTTAAGTTTGAGGAGGTTAATTCTTTTTAACATTATATCCCTAATCTGCTTGTAAGTGGATATAATTTGCTATGGGCAACAATTTGGAGTTTTAAAGTATGAACAAAAACAAAAAAAATGTAAGTCAAATTTTTGTATAAACCTTGCACACACAAGAGGAAAATCTAATTTCTGTGATTTAGTCATTTCATATTGGCACCTACAGACGGCCATAAAATGTAATCTATCCTATATTTTCTATTCTAGAGGAACAGATACATGTTATTAAAGAAAGGTGTACAATAATGCTTGAATGTTTGCAGTAATGACAGCAAAAGTGATTCTTCTTTGTCGAAACGTGTTCTGTTTAGTTTCAGCGTAAATACACTAAAATTGTAAATGTACTCTCTCACCATCTCATTAATATTCTAAAAAAAATAACGTTCCAGTTATTACTCATCCGACAGGACAAGTAAACAGCTGCTAGTTGTCTGCAGATTTTTTTTTCAAAATCAAATAAGCTTTGATGGAACTACTGACTTTAAAGACGTTGGCGTGACCACTGGGACTGGAAAATGAAAAGAAAAAGTCCCACGCTAGCGAGTGAGACTTTAAAGAAGATTAGAATCTAAACCAAAGAAAACTTACTGACTGCTATTAAAAATATTACTAGTCAATGTTGACTGTGATTTAATCCAGTAGAAGAAAGTTCTACTGTTGATAGTTGAAGCAGGGACAGTCAGTGATTTTTTTCTATTTTGGTTTAATCAAGGGCATTTTTTTGCAGCTAGCATATAGCAGTGATCCTCTGGATACAGTCCGGATAGAAAACAGCTCTCACATCAGCTGCTTTTTCTCTTCCCTAGCTCTACTGAGCCAGATCGACTTCTACATTCCGCCCCCAAATGAATATCAAATTTTATTGCAGCTTTTTTTTATCTTTTTATCTACCTGTTTTTGTGCAATCCAAAAAAAAAATGTCCAGACATCTGAGTTCACTCTGTGCTGCTGTCTGGAGAAAAAACTTGCCGATTTTGTACTTGGCTACTATTTTGCACCGTCTATTTACTTTAAGCTGTTTTTGTGGTCTTTGGTACGTTACTGCAGAGTGGGTAAGTACAGGTATATGCAAGCACACAGGTAACACTTTATTTTACAAGCCCCACACATACAGCAGTGTCCTATCATTTCCTAGGAAGAAACTAATATGCAACTATCAATTCAGAAGGTGGTCGTTGCAAATATAATCCAGTGTTAATTAACCAGATTTGTTACATTTGTACAGTTCCAATTTATTGATTTAAAGTAAGCGATAGAAAATCCTTAAGTGGCTTTTAGTTGCTGCACAGCAAGTCGGCTAAACACGCAACAAACATCTATAGAGAATGAGTGAATGTCCAAGAATAAACTGATAATTTATACTCACATGAGTTATATGAAGCGGTTCTTTTAAATGAACTTCTCACGAACTCAACACAACAAACAAAACTCACATTTTCCCTGGGCTTAAGAAATTGTTTTACAGGAAACGTCCCATGGGTCTCTACTTAGAAACTGTGGCCTCGTAAACTAAAGATGCAGATCTTGGAAAAACAAAAGTCTCAGAAAAAATCATTTAAACCCTCCAACAACTGGAATGTTCTGTTGAGAACAAACCTCAGCAGGCTGATTTCACCCCCCCGGCTGCAGTGACTCGTACCTGGAAAGCATTGCTGGCGAAGCCCAGGCCCAGCTGTCTGCAGACCACCATGGCCTCCATAGTCCCCCAGCCATCGCTGCACACCGTCCCCCACACCAGAGAGCCGTTTCTCTCCATCAGCACCTCCACACGGCCTTCATAGGGGTTACGGCCTCCACTCAGGCGCAGCTAAGGGTGAAAAACACAACAATAAATATGTAGGCTTCTGTTGCATGAATCGGTTATGTTTATAGCGATACATTTTTGTGCACGAAGGCCAAATGAAAGCTGAGAAAACCTATACAAGACATTCAGCACCAGCAAAACGTTTGGAAACACTTACTCATCCAAGAGTGTGTTTCAGTTTTGCATTTTTCTGCATTTCAGAACTAAAATAACAAATTTAGCTTTAGGTAGTGAGAAAAGCAAGCCTAACCACTGAGTGAATTTATACAGTAGATTTGCCAAAGTAGCCACTATTTGCCCTGATGGCAGCTCAGTTTAACTGCTGTGGTAATCCATACTATTGCACAAACCATTTAACTATGTAAAGAAAAAAAAACACACCATCATTATTTTATTACAATGAGGTCAGTCAGTTAAGAAAATTTGTAAAACTTTTTCTTGAGTTTCTCAAACTGTGAAGAAACTGGTTCCCTTACAGACCACCTCTGGAAAGAAGGAAAAGAGTTCCCTCTGCTGCAAAGGAGACGTTCATTAAAGCTCACAAAAAATTAACAATTAACAGCACCATAGATTAGAGCCCACATCAATGATTCAATGACACATCTAAACGACATCGGTTGGGAGACTGTGTGAATCAGAGACTCATAGTGGAACTGCTGCAAAGAAACCACTACTGAATGAGCCCAATTAGAGGAAGAAAAGTGCTTGAGCTAAGAAACACAAGGAATTGACATTAGACCAGGAGAAATCTGGACTTTTTAGTTCCAGCTGCCATGTCTATGTGAGACACAGTGAATGTGAATGGATGGTGTCTCCATATGTGGTTCCCATCATGAGGCATGAAGGAGTTGTGATTGTGTGGAGGAGCTTTGCTTGTGACACTGCTGGCAGAATTCAAAGCACAACTTACACAGGATGGCTACCACAACATCTGGTCTGAGCTCAGTGGGACCATCGTATTGTTTTTCATAGGACAATGAGCCAGAACACACCTACTGGCGCTGTAACGGCTGTTTGACCAAGAAGCAGAGTGACGGAGTACTTCATTAAAAGACCTGGCCTCCACATTCACCCACCTAAACCCAACTCAGATGGTTTGGGATGAAGTGGAGAGCAGAGTGAAAGAAAAGCAGCCAACAAGTGCTCAACATATGTGGGAACTCCTTCAAGACTGCTGGAAAAGCTCCAGGTGATGACATCGTGATGTTGGTGGAGAGAATGACGAGTGTGAAAAGCTGGTATCAAAGCAAAACGTGTCTGCTTTGAAGAATATAAAACGTGAAACATATCTTTGTCTATCTCTGTCTACACATTTCCATGCATTCCAAGTATTATTTCATAGTTGTGATGCTGCCAGCTTCTTTGTAAAATACTAAAATGTAGAAAATAGCAAGAAAAAAAAAGAGAAAAATGCTTAAATGAGTAGATGTGTCCAAAGCTTTGACTGACATAGCAGAGAAACATTATTGTAAATACATACATACAGTGTGCATGTTTGACTGAAACAAAGTAGAGACTGACCCTCTCCTGGAAACCCATAGCAGGGACGTTACATCTGACGGCTGCGTCCTCCTCATGACTGCAGCCCAGAGCCTCCTTGTTGAAGAAACACTCAGTTATGGACTTCTCAAACCCTGAGCACTCTACCTCATTCATATGCACCGGGCCCATACCTGAAAAATACACACAAACAGATTCTTTTTCTTTTTTCTTTTAATCCCATGGAAATTGATAAAGGAAAACAAATGATTATAATGGCTGAGAGAAGACAGCAGTGCTTCTTTATTCGATTTCATTTAAAAATACAGTTTTGCTGTAAAATCCAAACTTTAAAGTATTAGTTTGACATTTTGCAAAGTGTGCTTTCTTTCCCAGAGACCCTGCATGCTAAATATCAATCTAGAGCTGGTGGGCAATCAGCTTAGCTTAGTATAGACTGGAAGCCAGGCTTAACTGCTATCCTAGTTCTGTCCTAGGTTTAAAAATCTATATAACAGCACCAGACTACACTGGACTACAGCTGACTACAACTCCCTGACAGATAAATATGTAAAAATGTATAGAATCAATTCAGAAAGTCTTTAGACCAGTTCACTTTTTGTACTTGATGTGCTAAAAATGTAATTTTAAAGGTTTAACGTTTACATTTTTCTCACCAATAGTCACACTGTAACCCATAATGACAAAGTGAAAACATATTTTAAACTTTTTTGCAAATTTATTCAAAATTGAAACCTGAAATCTTTTATTTACAAATGTATTGAGATCTTTTGTGGTAGCATTCCAAACTTATGGTGCATCCTGTCTGTTTTTAACATCTTTAAAATATGTCTAGAATTTGAATGGAGTCCACCTGCATTAACCCAGTCATTACTCTAACAGAGCTTTCAAAGGAGAACCTGCCAGAAGGACAACCATCTCAGCAACACTTCATCAGTTAGGTTATTATGATAAAGTGGACAAATGGAAGCCACTCTTGACCAAAGCGCATCACAACCCAGTTTGAATTTAAAGAACTCTGAGAACACAAGGAACATGATTTTCTTGTCTGATGGAACCAAACTTTAACTCTTTTGGCAAAACACTGTAATACTAGCTCTGTGGTGAAGCATGGTAGTGGCAGCATCATGCTTTGTGGGTGATTCTCAGCTGCTGAGACAAGGACACTGGTTAGCACAGAGGGAAGAATGAATGAAGCCAAATGCAGAGATGTCCTTGAATGAAACTTACTCCAGTGAGCAGAGTCATGAGACTGGGATGTTGGTTCACCTTTCAGCAAACAATGAACAACACCTTACAGCCAAAGCATGACCAAGCCAAAAGTGGCTTCAAAACAAGTCTGATCCGAAGTGGCCCAGCCAAAGTACAAACCTAAACCTCAAAGAACATCTTTGGAGAGGCCTGAACATGGCAGGTCAAAAACACTTCTCATCCAACCTGACAAAGTCTGAGAGAATCGGCCAGTAAGAACGAGATAACCTGCCAAAATCCAGGTGTCTAAAGCTTGTAGAGACTTATACAAGAAAACTCAAAGCTGTAACTCCTGCCAAAGGGGCTTCAACAACAAAATCATTTAAGGGTCTAAATATTTTTGTAAATAAGAGATTCGTTTTTTATTTATTTGCAATAATTTCTAAAACATATTTGGTGAGAAAATCACTGATTTAGAAATTTAAAATTAGATGTACACTACAATAAAATGCTCAAAAAGTGAAGGTGTCTGAAATCTGTAATTGTAATTTTGTTAGTCCCTGCTTCCAGTCTTCATGCTAAGCTAAGCTAACTCGCTGCTGGCGCTAGGTTCCAACAGTATTTATGGTACAGACATTAAAGTGGCATTGATTTTCTTACCTCTTTCAACAACAGAGCAAAAAAATGCATTCCCAAAATGATACATAGGTATGTATAGTATATATGTCGGGGGGAAAAAAACACATACAATAATGATAAAGCTTCAGTTGTAGTCAATGGAATTGGATGGAAATGAAAGGATAGCTGTAACGGTCAACTTAGCATGGAAACACAGGCTCGTTCAAGTGGTTAGATAATCAGACAACCCAATAGGTGTAGAAATTCTACAACAACAGCAGCGTCACCAAATTATATCAAGTTTCCTAATGATGTCTAAGCTTCTTAAAGCACCGGTTCACCTAACATGCTGTGAAGGCACACTGAGGCATATCAAATATGTTTGATGTCTACTATGCACGAATAAGACATGTTTTCATCTGTTAGGATCATTAGTGCTATGTTTTCCCTCTGTCATGGTGCAATATTACTATCTGAGATGTTTTTTTTATTATGATTATTTCCATGTGACTTTTGTTTTTCATGAAGGGTTTGAGCCAGTGATGAGAAATCATGATGGAAAATAAATTTGGAAAAGGAACGTTCTCTTCATTTCAACATTTTCCATGTCTAACATGACTGGAATGTGTAACAATGTACAGCATGTCCCTGTTTATCCATGAGAAACTAAACACTGTCTGCTTCTTTTTACCAGACATTGGCGTAAAATTAGATTTTTTCTGCAGTATACATTGACAACATGAGCTCGGGCTTTAAACTATGTGTAACACAGTAGCGATATCTGCTGTGTGTGTAATTAAGAAATGGGTCAGTGACACATTTTTGTTGGGAGGGGGCTCCAGACTTTCAGACCTGCTTTGCTTCCTATAAAACTCTCCATGCAGCCTGTGACATAACTGTGCTGCTGCAGCCTATGGATCCAATAAAATAAGAATTCTTGGACTGAAGGCTTCCATGTAAAAGTAACTAAGTAATAAAAGGTGGGGCTCTTCTTCTGGGCCCATCCCAAACTCATAATGAACACAAGCTTTGCCTTGTATATTTCTAAATAAGATACCTGAACAGTGAGAAAAGGGAGACCTAATTAGGCAAACAAATAATTCAGGTTTATTGCTGTGTGGCTTTAGTTTTGTAATTTCTAATAATGAGTTATGTTAACTTTTTCCTTTTCCTGCTGCTCTTTACATCAGTGAATACGGTCGTTTGTCTGGCCTCAGTTTAGTAACTTGCAATAATAAGCGATGTTAACTCATTATTATTGTTATTACTGTTTCAATATATATATATATATATATAATTACATCAATATATTGACACAGGACAAGAAAATCAAAGTGTACACAAATAAAATAAAACAGTTACAATTGTCTGATATGTGGTCACAAAAATAAGCTTCTCTTAGCTGTCAGGTAAAACTAACTTTGTCATCTGATGATTTAGATTATCAGCTAATCCAGCAACCTCTGTACGCCTACAATGGGGAGTTACAGCTGCACAAGCATTTATTTTGTTCTATTTATATATCATATTTTACTTGCATTCTTACTGAGTAGAAACCCTGGACAAATAAAAACAAAACTATCATTTAAAAAAAAAAAATATTTATTCAACCAACTTTTAATAGCTCACATTCTATCTTCTAGGCAGTTTTAAACTTTAAAGCTGCACTAACCAATATTTTTATGTCAACACTAGATTCAATTACAATAAGTAGTATGATAGATGTTTGTGCCGACAAACCCACATGGAATTCCCATCTGAATCTGCAGTGTTTCGGCCCCTTTCAGCTCTTTGTTTTAATGTTCTTGCCCATAATTTCATGTTTTGGCACACATAAATGATCATAAAAACCATATAACACACTAAAGGAAAGGGGAAACCCCCAAAAAACATAATATGGGCTCTTTAAAGGATGAATGCTTGGCTAACACAGTGCCAAAACAATTACATAATGTTGAAATGTCAGTATAACGGTTATGGCTTGGTGCAATGACCCCAACTGGCTAAAAAAAAATGCTTTTAAGTAAAAAAATACAATCAAGTGCCAGTCGCTTTTACCATCAGGTCTGGGAGTTCATACTTCTCTGGTTCCACCGGCGTGATATACGGAGGAAAGCTTAAAGACTACAATTACTGTCTGAAATGTTTGGGCTATGTGGTTCTGCTCCACAGTCATAACCGTCCATCCCATGCCATGCAGGAAATATACACCGACAGTTGTTCCAGAAATCAAGACTATCATTGGCATGGGATAGTTTCAGGTCTCCTTTATAATTAGTCCAGGCATGTTTTTTCTCTGTACATGCAGTTCACATTTATTGTCTTTATGTTTTTCTCATTGTTGGCATTACACAGCTAAGGACTGAGCAGCACTCTAGCTTACATTAGCCTTATTTTATACATTGGTTTCATGTTCCTGTTCTCAGCCATCCCTGCTGGAAAGCCCTCAGTTCTGAATGTGCAGCAAGAAGCGCTGGAAAGAAGAAAAAGGAAATATAAAACCAGCACACCTTGTCCCAGGCGACCTCCGGACAGGGCCTCCTTTGCTGTACCAAAGCCCAGCTCTCGACACACCACAGTAGCAGACAGCAGGTTCCAGTTGTCATCACATATGGTGCCCCACTCTCCGTTTTTCAACACCTCCACTCGGCCCTCGCCTACGATAGCCCCACCGCGGAGACGAACCAACGGTTGCTGAAGAGGACAAACAGAGACACTGTAAAGAGAAGTCACTGTAAAAGCTGAACTGTCCAAATCCTCAAAGAAGAAAAACCGCATTTTGGTTATTCTGGTTCTTTCCAAAGTAGCAGACTCAGCTGAAAAGTTGGAACATCAACTTTTCCTTCTCTGTGATGAGAAAGCTGAGGCAGCAGACTGGGTGGCTTCATGTTTATAGAACATGCTATTAATGCGGTTCTCCCATTAACTGTTTAGATAAACTGGAAGTGTTTAATTTTACAAGAAAACACAGTTTAATCTGGTTTACTACTATTTGTATACACAAGATAAAGACGTCTTAATGTGTGGGCTCTGGAATATGTCTGTACACTCACTGTATGCCTCTTTAACATACTGGCATTATCATTAAACTCTTAAAACATTTATTATTTAAAAATCTGACACATAACCCTGCAAAACAATGGACTGTAAGAGATGGTACATGTGCTTCAAACTTTACTATTGACACAAAATGTTGTGACCACTCACAGATGAAGCAGATCATGTTGATTCTCTCATAACAGCAGCACTTATACGTTCTGGGATATATTAGACGATAAGAAAACAGTTGGTTCCTATAACCAAACAGGCAGAGGTCCACACGTGGCAGACTTTTGACTCCTAGTCAGCAATCAAGAAAGGACAAACCATGACGAAACTGGGTGCTGGGCAGGTTTATCAATACATAAAGGCAATGAAAGGTCGCCCACCGTGCCTGAACCCAGAGAAGGGCTACATCTTTCCAAGATGGTGGCACACATAGACACAGCGGCTCACGGCTCTCAGTCTCAGTGCTTGTTTTTATATTTTATTCTTGTTTCTCCAATCTCGTTGTATACTGTATAATAACAGTAAAGGGCATTCATTCATTCATTCCTTCACTATGGCATATGGGTGAAAGTCCTCACAACACACACTGATCAGATTGCCTGTGTTGACCTCTGTTCACTGTTAAAAATGCCTACAATTGATCTGACAGCAATAGAAGATGGTCTAATGCTTTACATTAAGTGGGTCAGATATGTTTATGGGAAAAGGAATGGCAGCAGGATGCACTAAAGACAAGCCGGCAGATGCTTGTGGCAGTGTTCTGGTGTAACACATTGGGTCCTGTCTTTTATGTTGATGTCAGTAATATAGAAACCAACTGTGTTAGCACCATTGCAGAATATGTATACCCCTAGCTATAGTGTTACAGTGGCCTCTTTCAGCGGAATAATACACACCACCATGCTGCCTATATGTTCGGCAATGGTTTGAGGATCATGACAGATAGTTCAGGGTGTTGACTTGGCCTTCATATTCCCTAGATCTCAATCCGATCAAGCATCTCTAGAATGTGCCACAAGCAAGTTTGATCCTTGATCCACTTTGCAACTTATAGGATTTAAATATCAGCTGCTGACATATTGGTGTCTGAAATAATCCATTCTTTTGTCTCCTCTAACCTTGACTATTGGAAAGTTCTATACTCGGACTAACCTTTCCCAGATTACCAACTCGCTGGCTTTGCGGCATTATGCATCAGCTTCCAAGACAAGGATTCCTGGTCATTGTTGAATTCAGAATCCTTGTAGCCATTCTCACAGCCCAAGACAACTTGGCTCAGCCTTATGTCAGTGTGCTGAGTCTATCTTAGCCAAAGCATCATGAGTCCCTGCCAAATATGTTGTTTGTCAAATGCATGTCCCCAAAAAACTCCAAGCCCTGAGGGATAGGCTCTACAAGAACTCTGAAGGTTTGCTGTTGCATCTGACACCGAGAAGTCAGCAGCAGCTCTTGTCAGTCCTCTAAGTTGTAAGCTGTCGGTTAATGGTTCATGCCTCCTCAGACCACTGTCAATGGGTATTCACCACTGCTGAGCACTCACAAGCCTTGCTGTTTCAGAGATGCCCTGACCCAGGCATATGGCCAATATTTGCCTATTACTTCGTCATCAAATTAGTTGACAACAAGAACCACTGCTGTCTAATATATCCCAGACCTTGACATGTGCCACTGTGATGAGACAATCAGCATTGTTAACTGATTAATCTGTCAGTGGTCAAAGTGCTTTAGCTCACTGGAGCAGAAACAAACTTTCTGAATCTTGTGGATCTGGTCTTTTCTCCTGGGGACTGGTTAACAAATCCATTACAAGCACTTCTTACAACAGTTTGCGAATGACATCACGTTTGACAACTTACTGCTGTCGATTGCTAAGATATTTGGGTGGTTCATTGGGCTCTCACATGTTCATGCATAGCTTGCCAGTATGGGATTTGTTTTGATTAGTGACACCAGAAGAGGGAATCATCTTATGGTGCACATCACAGCTTGCATGTTGCTCCAGTTTAGACAGCTCTGCTTACGGTTTCAAATCCTTTCTCAATATCTGTTTGGATCAAAGTTGCTTTTATGGTTCTTTGGCCCAATTTATTCTCAGAATTTCTTCTCTTTTTTCTCACAGTATGAACTTCAAAGACTTTCCAATTACTACGAAAAAGGACAGATCGACAGATACCGAAAATAATCTTTGTCACCTCAATGTTACTTAACTTATTGAATGTGGAAAGAAAACCCATCAAAAGCATCAAATATCAAGACTCTGACAAATTAAATTCAATTAAACAAGAGAGAGAAAAATAATAAATCACTATGATCTGGAAGGTACATTTAAGTCTTTCATTCTAATACGGTGGTTTTAACAGATGGTGTCAGCTTTTCTTTCCTTTTTAAATGGTAAACATCTGGCTTAAGGCTAAAATTCCTTTGAGTCAGATCTTCTGAGTGTGCTGGAACATTTGGGACGTGATGTGAGGCAAACCACTCCCAGTCCGGCACTCAGTTGTGGAACGTGACAGAGAGCATGCAAGCTCAAACCTCACATTGGAACATCAATGAAGTCACACAGACATAAATTCCTGTCAGCCTTATGATGTTCTAAATGTTGGTAGTAATTCTGTGCTTAATTTGAAAGGTGCCGTGGTTGTTTACAGACTGAGTGAGTTTCATGACCCCTGAAGTCTAAAGACTCAGTGAGAAAAATTCCCTCTTTCACCCACTAGTGAAGTCAGAGGTCACAAAAGGCAGTAAGGTTTGCGACAGGAAAAAAAAAAAAAACTTTCTATGCAGCATGAACATACCGAAACACTTCTGGTCAAAAAACATTTTTGGTCAAAGTTTCTTTGAGCCTTGTTCAGTAAACAATGCACATATGCAGTACATGGCCAAAAGCTTGGACACCCGTGCACTACACCCTCACGTTAGTGTTGAGTATTCTAAAGCCATGTGTTTGATGTGCTGTTTTACCAGCCTCCACTCTTTTGGATCCAGGTTTTCCACCAGATGTTGAAACTGCAGAGCTGCAGGGATTTGGTCCCACTCAGACACAAGACCGTGACTTCACTGATGGTGGGTGGTGCATGACTTGCAGTTGGTGTTCCAGTTCATCCCAAGGGTGTTAGACGGGGTTGAGGTTGACTTTAGGACAGGATGGGGGCTTCCCCAAACTGTTTGAAAGACTGTTTTCGCTTAGTCTTGTAACATGGTTTCTTGACAATCCATGATCAGTATCCCCTTGGCAACCGAAAGCCCCTTTGTTTGACGTTTGACATGACATTATATGTCATGTACTGTCTACTCTAAAGTGGTAAGAAAAATAAATTAAATATCTATCCTGTACCTGTTTTTGTATTTTATACCTTTTGTAACAACCATAGCATGTCTGAATAAAGCCATAAGGAAGACGGGGCAACATAATGTATTCCATAAAATGTCTGAATGTGTTATATAATGCACAGGTGGTAGATAGTTGCATAGGAAATAAATTAATCCTTGACAGCAGCCCAAGGCTGAAATGTTAGATATCTAATAAATTTAGTGCTGACTGCATGACATTAAACATATATATTTTTTACAGATCTTTAAAACAAAAGAAGTGGATGTTCACATACTTATCTATTTACATGTAAAATGTAAAAAATGCAACTAAGACAAAGAAAAACAAACAAAAAAGAAGGCAAAAAGCTACTGAAGATGGAAGTTTAAAGAAATAACTTGGCTTTATGAGAAAGCATTTGAGATGTTAGTTTGACCTCTAGGAGTTGGATCAGTGGATCTAAACCTAATTTTATTTATTACAAAACGCCACAGCACAGTTATAAATCAGTATATGAAATTATAATCTCCTCAGCTGTCATATCTGAAAGACTAAAGAATCACGGCAAAAGCATCAAAAAGGAAGGGAGCAGATTTTCCATCCCAGATTCTTAGAGGGAGCAGAGAATGAATCACACTTTCAGGAAACAGCAATCAGCCTCTGTGAATTACATTTACAATTTATTAACTCAGTTTGAGCTTTCAGTTACAAACTGCACAGTGCTGTTTGGGAGAAACTGTTTGTGCCTTCTCTTTATTTTCTTAAATTTCCAGGGAATAAACAAAATTTTACAGGTTTTCAAGCAACTAGTGTGCAAAATGTGTAAAAACCACCCTGATGGTGTACTGTTGCTGGTTCTGGACTGTTTGCTCAGGGACATTTGAGAAGACTAAGTGAGTTGACAGTGGCTTCCTTTCCTTGTCATGCTCCAAGAATTTGACTACATGTCATCTCTAAAACCCCGTGGGTGATGGTGATAACTCATTTTGATGAAGAAATTTCCAAAGCAGCTACAGCTGCAGTTCACTAAATGACATGAAGTATTCAATGTGACTACTGGCTTAACGTCCAGCCAAAACATTTTGTGTAGCCACCCTCTGCAAGAGAGCCAGTGAACTGAAATAAACCCGTGCAGCTAGTTCCTCTGTTAGCTTTGTTTGCCATGTCATGTCCATGCAGCACTGATTTACTGTCACAGCACTCATTGTGCTAAAATAATGTGGTTTTTTTACCTCTTGTCGGAAGGCTTTCCTAAATCCCGTCATGGGCGTTGGCGCGAAGGCTCTACCAGGCACGCAGCTCACCACTACGGGCAACCCTCCAGTGCAGGTCTCATTGGACTTCAGTGATGTAGCCTGACCCAGTTTGCAGCTGGATAAATGGGCTTCATTTCCAGTGCAGTTGACAGAGTAGTCCCAGTACGTGGGCTTCCTCCTGCGAGCAAACATCCTGAACAGGCGGAGAAGATAGAATGAAGGTCAATAAAGTCTTGGGTGATAAAAGGTGATTTATTTTCAATGAGGTACACCAAAATGTCATTTGATTTGACTAAACTAAAGCTGCACTAATAATAGATTTCGAGGCACATTGGGTCAAGGGACCATGTCTGTGTCCAAAATCACCCACTATACCCTGCATAGTGCACTACATGGGGTGTTTGCCATTTTATAGTGCTGTCCAAATGTTAAGTTACAAATGCTACACCCTATATAGTACACTCAAAATATCCCACAATGCACGGGGAAAAGTAGTGTACAGGCAGTGGTCACTAACCAAGCGACATGGACCATCATGCATTGCGTGAAAGGAAATGCACATGAGACAAACAAAAACTTGTCATTAAAATGTAAGTAATTTCCTGTTTGTTTTGTTAAATTGTATTGTACCCGTTTCTTAGCTATGCAATAAACTGTGAATATGATGTGTTTGTGCAACCTTGCTCCAGCACAAATCGTGGCTAGCGAGCAACGTTATTAATAGCTCGAGTAGTGTCCAAAATTTTACTTTGCCAAAGTTCTCCCTACATAGTTCACAATATAGTGGTCCCTATATAGTGAGCAGGGAGTAGGGAATGAGTTGATGATTTTAGACACAGCCCATGGGTGATGTGTGAGATGTTACTGGTAGTGATGATTCCACAGTGAGTTACTTACACATTTCAGCATCTTTCAGCTAATTGTTTCAGTTTTACAGACAGCAGCTTTAGTGCTGAGTTCAGTCTCAGTCTCATTCTTGATTTCAAACTTCTGAAAGGGTAAAAAATGACGACCCTAAAACGACCCTACAGACACCACTGTACATGTTATTTCAATTATATCCCCAAACATTCAGAAAATAACATAATAAAGTTGTAATAATTCATTGATGAGTTGATTTTTTTTAAGACAAAAATGACAAATTTTCACCAGTGCCAGCTTCGCAAATGTGAATATTTGCAAGTTTTTCAGTTTTCCTATTTTCTGTAAACTCAGTGGTGTTGGGGTTTCAACTCTTTGTCAAGCAAAAAAAGCTATTTGATAATGTTTAGGTTTTTCACGATATAATCAACTAAGTATTTAAGATTGTCCGATGTCTAGACAATGTCACTGACTGTTAGGCACTGTTATATAGTCCTCTTGGGTTAGAACAACATCATCCCTTAAGATTTGTAAGTGTTAGTTACTTTGCACAAATGAAAAAAAAGAAGCAATTTGACAAAACAGAAAAAATGCAAGAGAAGGCTTAGCTGTTCGTATGGGTCTAGGTTCTGTGATCATTCACTGGCTTTAACTATTTTGTTACTAGAAAAAAAACCTCTGATAAATTGCATGTATGCTACCTGTTCAGCACCAAATGTCCTGCAAGTTTAACAACTAACCAGTAAACAGAGAAGAAAAATTAACAGCTTATGCTTGAGCAGCTAAATACTTAATTCAGGAGTTTGTAGCGATCAAACCAGACCTAAAAGAGAGTGAACATAAGACACACTTGTCGGGTTCCAAGATATACAAATCCAATGAAAACTACTATGTTTCAGTTGGGTCTTCAAATGGACAATTACGTTTTGCTGTATATTTTTATAGTCGTGTCATGTTCAGTTCTGAGTTATGAAGGACCAAAACAAGCATTGATTAATATTGTTTCGTATCCATGTTTGTTTCATAAATAATTCTGTCTGAATGAAAAAACACTGAATGAAATGAGTCATCTAAGCCATGTTCTGTAAGTTGTGGTAGACGTACTGTTCCTGAAGTGCCCAGAGTGGATAATCTATACCAACCCACTTGACACCATAAAACCATACAAGGGAAGTGATATGAGCATATTGCATGATTAATACCAAGAGTGAATGGTTAGCTAACAGCTGGAGAGTTCAGTCTCCCATATGCACTTGAACAAACTGAGGTTAATGACCCTCTTTAAGGCCTGCTGAGGTGCTAATCTCCTCCCCTCCATTTATTCGTGAGCCCATATTATGTATTTAATGAGCCTCATTTGCAGAATGCCATGTCCTATGCTCATGTCCCATGTCTGAGGTGTACAAGAAAGACCAGATTAAAATGGGACAGGGAGCATTTGTTTTTCATTTGGGAGCTGGAGAGAGGGAAGCTGCACACTGGAAGCCATCCAGAGCTAATGTTTGATGCTGCAGCCCAAGGAGTGGCTCAGCTATCACCTCAGATGCAACTTGATCACTGTCAGTACTGTCCAAATAGAGTGACGATTGAAAGAAATTAGTAGTTCAAAGGCTGCGAAAGTTGAAAGCTCCCCAAGTCTTTTGTTCTTGTCCAAAACATGGTTATTCTGAAGCTGGTTCCAGTACTTTAATCAGCTTGAACGATAGTCTTCATTACAAACTTTCGATCCCAAGTTATTGATGATGATAATCAATAAAAAAATAAAGGGGAGGCAAACTTTTATTTATCATCACTCAGTCTGTGAAGACAGTTACATAAAGGCTTCTGTATTATAAAGGAGCTTTGTCAAGTCTGAAAAAAACAACTCATCCCTCAAGTCATCTCAATTAAAAATATACAACTGGAAGCTTTGGTTGCAGTCTGACACTGTGGAGGTTGAAACACAGAAACAAAAGACACTACAGAGCACCATGATTGAAACTGTAGTTTGGAAACACGACCCACACTAGGAACATATGTAAAGCACTGAGTTAGACGAGAATGTTGATCAGCATCCTCTGGTAATTTCAGTTGACATGTTTTCAATCCTGCATCTTCTTAGCTGCCTTGCAAACATTATGTTTCCGTAAGTCTAAGTTCAAATCAGCTGGTTTTATTGTGACTCCACAGTGAGGACAGGATATCTAGAACGCTACATGAAGCCACGCAGTCCCAAGGCACCTACTGATGGTCAGTAAATCCCTCCAAAGTGATGTCTTTTTAAATGACAGTGTCTCATTTTCACTCTGTCTGCATGTTAAGAGCAGAAGTGGACAGCTTGTAACTGGTTAAAGGCCCTTTTGACAAACTGGTCTGAGAAACAAATGTAATGGAACAGAGAAAAATCCCTTCTTCCTTCTGCTGTTAACTATTTAGTAAATCATTTAGATTACTTTTAAGTGAGATATAAGTTAAATTAAATTTGTAAAATAAGAAATCTGATTCCTCAGCTAGAGGTTTGTAGTTCCTGTAGAAAAGTTTCTGCAGTGAAACATTTTTCTTTCTTTCTTTCTTTCTTTCTTTCTTTCTTTCTTTCTTTCTTTGTGGAAGTGCACTGCAAATTCCTGGAGCAAGGTCACTACATATTAGCGGTGATATAATTGACAGACAATTCCAAAACTGATCTGACGATTATATAACTGTAAATATTATACTAATGACACCATCTTTTTTAGAATATTCTTCATCTATTATTTTCATCTGTCAACTTTTTAAAAAACTTTTAAAAGAAAATCCAAGGTAAAAAAAAAAAAAAAAAACACTCTATACTTACAACTTTGCAACTTGAATAAGAACGTTTCCATTATAGAAAACAACACAGAGAATCACTAATTCTTCACTTTCATATTTCCTAAAACTGTTATTATTTAAATCTCCAAATGACTCGGGATAAAGCTAAACTAGAAGTTATACAGGAGTCACAGAAAAGACAAAAATGCAGATTATGAAACTGTGGCAGTTCTTGGCTCTGTGTCAGGGCTGTTTCAAAACGCAGCCTGTAAAAGCACACTACACATTTCATGGGGCTGAAGCGGGAGCGGGCTGACACGTAGATGGAAAGTTAGGGAGCTGCTATGCTCTACTGTGGTTACCTCAAGCAGAAGAGGCTTCCAGGCCAAGCAGACAGTCAATTCAAGGTTAAGTTGAGTGCTGGAAGTTTTATGGTAAGCCAAGATAAACGTGCGGACGTGTGGCTGCAAACTATCTCATGTAAGCAAGATTTAGATCCTCCACATATTACGACATCTCTGTGGTAAGCACCCATTTTGGATCTATACCAATCACCCCAGCATTAAAACCACAGACAGGTAAAGTGAGTAACAGTGATCATCTTTTTAAAATGCAGCTTTCCGCAGGGAAACTTTGGGTTCTGGCATTCTTGTAGACATGACTTTGACACGCACCACCCAAGTGTACATTACTGCAGACGAAGCACATCCTGATTGTAGCAGCCTCCACCACGGGTCAATATGCCATTCCACACCACTAAACCGCTCTGGGATGACTTGAGGAACATACCAAAGAGCCTAAGATATTAATCCAACCTCCAAATTTCTCAGATCCCAATTCACTCAAGCATTCATGAGATGTGCCAGAACAAGCCCAATTCACGGATGGCCCTCCATGCAACACACAAGACCCAAAAGATCCACTGCCAACATCCCAGCGCCAGAAACCACAGGCTACCCCCAAAGGTCCTGTATCCACGCCCCAATGAATCAAAGCTGTTTTGGCAGCACAAGGGGTTCCCCTACATGTTTTAATTTTGTGGCACTCTGCTGTACAAGAGTAAGATATGAGTTTCAATGTATAAGGGTTTGTGTTGTAAAGAATGTAATCCATACGTTGGAAGATTGGAAACCTGTTCAAAAGTATTTTAGCCCTTTATTGTCACCCCTTTTTTGTTGTAGTCTTTCGATATCACAACAAAATTGTTTGAATCTTGGCTTGATTTTGAACCTCAAGATTTGACATATTTGTTACACAGTAAGAATAAAATATATGGAAACTTGCACCTGTGTCGACATATTGAGCTTTTTGTGATTTTCTGTCATTTACAACACTTTTAAATCCAGAAGTCTGTGTTGTAAATGGTCAAAGTTCCTACAGTTGAGGTGAAACTATGTAAATATTGAGCTCATTTTCAATGTCAATGTTCACATGTGGCCACAGACAGCCATTGTTGTTAACAATATCAGTGGGTTGCTGTGTTGCTCATTTGCATATTCAAGATTAGATTTAGCCTCAAACATGTACGCAAGTATTTGGAAAGTTGGGATTTTGTGTAAAAATTAGTAAAACATAAAAAAAAGAGAGAGAGAGAGAGAGAAATTTGGGCAATATTTTTTCCTAAGTCTGCAGAGGGGCATGTTCTAGAAAGTGGAAAATCATAACAGTGAACTGATGGGGAGTGGTGGGCCTCATGAGATGGGATTTTAAAATGCCCATTTCAGTCAGAGGCTGAGTGAGGTAACCAGCAAGTAAGGAGGGGTTCTGATTTGTAAATCATGCAAATTAGAAGGCTAGACCAAAAGCATAGGTATATGTCATCTTAAACAGTTCAATTAGATTTTACCAACATTAAAAAAAAAGTATTTTATAATCAAACAACCAAAAAGAGAGAGTCAAGTTATCAGTATATGCTGTGTTTTGAATGTTCACAGTCATGCAACATTTTAAGTGTACTTGCAACACTCCATGAAAGTTCTAGTGCCTGTATTCTGACAAAAACCTATGCACACTATAGGGAGTTAATGTTGGTCAGGAGAGCTGACTAGGAAGTGTTGTGTTTTGAGTGTCAGCTTGAGGTTGGAAAAGTAATCCACCACACGGTAGGATAATTTTCCAATATGGAACTTGACATCCCTCAGCAGAGTTCACATGTCAGGTGAAATGTTAGGTTTCAACAAACTGACAGGAGGTCCTTGCAGGCCAGATGGCTGACCAAGGCTAGATTACCAACCAGGCGAAGCAAGAAATTCCCTCAGGGTCCCAGACGGTCAGGGTCACTTGGGTTGTAGAAAAATCTAAGTATTTGCGAATTTGGTTTTTACATTGAGAACATATGCCTAACTGAAATACAGTGTGGAGTAGAATGCTAATGACCTTACGTCTGTAGCCTGAGGTTGTAAACTTTGGGGTCTTTGCTCTCTTTCTTTGGAATTTCTGAGAAAGCTTTGGTGTTGTAGACCTTTGAGATAGATGTGTGTGTGTGTGTGTGTGTGTGTGTGTGTGTGCGTGTGCGTGTGCATGTGTGTGTGTGTGTGTGTGTGTATCACACAGACAGTGGACAAAGTGTCTGTCGGGGCCAAACCTTTGCTCAGGATCCTGTAGTAGGTTAAATCTGTCATTCTGCTGACATCAGTGAGTGACTAACCCCCCACCAAGTGATTTATTGTTGAATGTGTTGGATTTGGCTGAAAATGAATAAAAATCCTGTTTTGTACTCCTCACCCACACAAATGTATAAATTTAATAATTTAGCCACTGTCCCACGTTTCTGTTCATGTTAATAGTTGTAATTTTCGTTTTAAACAGAAACTGCCACATGTTGCAGTAGTGAAGTGCAAGCGCTTCTCAATAAATCCATGTGAAACCACATCTAGATTGTATGTAATTTAATGTTTCTGCATCCATGTGTGGCACCGGGGGTGTATGTTTAGCATACAATTACCAATTTGTGGTGAAGAAACATGGGGAAAACAGATCAGAGTTTACCATCTGCCAACTCCTCCAGAAGCAGATTTTGCTATTATTCAACACAACGCCCACTGAGTCACAGCATCAAACTGGTAGCACATTGTTGTGAAAGACCTTATGGTACTTTAAATTTCTATGTAAGTGTCCAATAGTGAATCCAAACCTAAATCCTGTTCTGCTCTTTAAGCCTCCCAGGACCTCACATACTCACTTGTAGACTCTGGCGTTGTACTTTCTCTCCCCAGGGAAGCCAAACATGCCACAGATGACTCTGCCGTTAAACTGGGTCCACTCTGTGTTACAGATCTGCTTCCATTTGCCGCCATCCTTGACCTCTACATAGCCCTCTGTTACAGGGATTCGCTTGCGGTACGATGACAAGATGGCTCGAATGCGTACATCCTCCACTTGAATATCAAGGCTCTGTGGACGATATATTGAAAAATGTGTCAAGAAACTTGCTTTAATCACAGAAGAAAAAACATACAACCCCTTTTTTCATGCAAAAAAAAATACATTTGTTTATCTTTCTAAAATGCAATTTGTCAGTAAAACTATGTGCATGTGTTTTTGTGTAACTTGTTTATAATCATACAGCCATATGCTACAGTTAGAAGAAAATACACCCCTGCAGCAAACAGATGTTTAACAAGAGCCTTTCTTCAAATGTTAATGCAAAAATGAAAAAGAGAACAAGAGCAGTTGTGTCATGTGCAAAGGTTTGGGCCCCGAACAACATGTAAACATCTCCAACGGCCTACACAGATTAGCAAACATGTACATCTCCCAAATCTCAACAACATGTTGCGTCAACCTGCACATGGGGCAAGGCGACTGGTTAATCCGATTCAAAGCACAAAGTACCTCAAAGCAGCTACAGGCTATTTGGCTAAACATGACACAGGCGTGTACCTTTGAAGAATAACTTTAGCTTAAGTCACTACTTCAGTATGTTCAGTCTGTTTACATGCACACTAGTCTCCCTCTTATCCTGGGCTTGATCAAACTCAGGATATAGTTAGATGGAACATGAGAACCCTGGTTAGTCATATTGTTGTGCAGGGTTCTGATAAGCAGTGCTCAGTATAATTTCTCATCTTTTAATTCACTACATTTTCTATCAGCATGAAATGCTCAGAAATCTGCATATACATTCTGCAGCCAGATGAAGAGGTTTAAGCACGCTACACACGATTTTCAGCCGTCCCAGACGAAAGATAACAATCGTGAGGAAATTGCGGCGACATCTTTGGTCTTGGCTCTAAATTGGTGGTCCTACGTCGCACTGTGAGACAGGTTCAAGGACGGCCGTTGTCATGAGATGCAAGGCAGGGCAGCAGTCTGATAACTCTCAGTGGTTTTGACTTACTTTTAACTTTTAAGTGCAATACGGGTACTGATTGCACACTTGTCTCCATAGTCTGAATTATTTATCATATATATTTATTATTTATATTATA